CAAAAAAAAAAAATAAAAAATCAGGAAGTTAAGCACAGAATTCTCTTCCTCGTGGAGATGCTAGAGCCTTTTCTCGATCCTGCAATGCGTCCATTAAAGAGTGGAATAACTTTTGGTGACACTATGATTACAAAGAAGCAAGAGGAGAATTGTATGATTGCCCTTAATGTCATTCATGTTGCAGTGGAAAAGCCCGCAGTTCTTCCTTCTCTTGAAACTCAATGGCGGAATGGTTCAGTGAGTCCAAGGTATACGCATTTCGTTCAGTCAGCACTAAGATCTTGGTCTAGACACGATGTTTTGGCGTAGTTGATTAAATTCTCACCTTGAAAAAAAGGAGAGCCCGAAAGGCAAGAAAGCTGTAAGAAATTTGAAACCTTAGGCCTGCTGTAGAATCATAATGACATCAAGTCTCTTAAAAGATCATCACCTGTGGAATTCTGGTGATTCAGTGTCGATATTAACAAAGTGTTGAACACCATTTAGTGGCTTGTGATATGGGTTTCTGGTTCTTTTCTTATCTGCAGATCTGATTACTTATTATTTTTATGCGATGTATAGCGTTAACAGTGTCAATCTAGTAGTAGAACTGGTAAGTGATGCTAATGGAAGTTGAAAACGGAAAATGTGAACTTGGGTAACAGAAATTTTACGGTAGAAGATATTACCTATCACATCTGTTTGAATTGATAGTTGGTGAAGATGAGGAGAACTAATAATCGCATGCTATCTGAAGTTAGTAGATGGAAATCTTTAATTCTTTCCAACGTTTTTTTTCTTCTTCATATGCATCTTTAACTCCCGGAATTGTTTCATAACGGATTAATGTTTCTCTGGTGTAGTGTCCTTCTCTCCATACTTGATCCTCAGTTAGAGTTACCACCCGGAATTGATCTTTGCAAGTCCAATTCTTCCAGAAGTACAGATATTGAGTCATCATCTGTATCGAAGGTTTTGCTGCGTCAAGTAGGACCTCCAAAATCTCCTAAGCAAACTGATTCTGACATAAGTTCAGAAATTTCTGAATCTGTGACCAAGATTGATATTTATGATGATGTAAGGTTTTACTTTGCCCCTCAAGAACTGCGGGGCTTGACATTAACAAGCACCAATCGTAGCTGCAATGAAGCTATTGGAGATCTCAGGCCTGAACAGAAAGGTGATAAAAAATTCAACTTCTTATTTCCAAGTGGCTTAGTTCTGGATACTGGTTTTGGTTCCAAGTACTTCAATCTACAAGCAGATTATATTCAACTTGAGAACATCCGGGATTGCGAGCTGAAGGCTTCGGAATTCAAGCTTTTGGCCCAAAAGTTACACTCACTTGATTCAGTCTCTGTTGAAGATCACGATGCTTCTGTTGATGCTTTGCTCTTGGCTGCAGAGTGCTATGTGAATCCTTTCTTTGTGAAATCCTTTGAAGTCAGTTCAAAGATTATAAATGAGATTGAACTGAGCAAAACTAGAAACCAGAAGGAAATTGATTTCAGAAGGATCACCAAGACGAGGAATATAGACATGGAAACAATTGGTCAGCTTGAAAGGCAAAGAGATGTAGCTGTCTTTCAGATTCTGCTTGAGGCTGCTAAATTAGACGCAAATTTCAAGAACTACCTGTCAAAGGAAGAGATGCATAATTGTACTGAAGAGTCTGATGAACCAGTTGTTGTCCTCTCTCCTAATGATATGCTATCTCAAGATGCTGTCACTTTGGTCCGGCAAAACCAAGCTATACTTTGTAATTTTCTTGTTCAGCGACTTCTGAAAGATCGGCAGTCCCAGCATGAAATTCTTATGCATTGCCTGGTGTTTCTTCTGCATTCTGCTATAAAGCTATCTTGTCCGCCTGAAGATGTGATTGATATCATATTAAGATCGGCAGAATACCTGGACGGGATGCTATCATCTATTCATAATCAGTTGAAAAATGGAAATTGTCAGTTGAAGCCAGAAAAGATTCTTGTAATTCAACGACGTTATCTGCTCCTGCAAAGATTGGTTATTGCTTCTAGTGGAAGTGGCTGTGATTCTGATTCTGCAGCTGATGTTGACAATGGTTTTCTACATGGAAGTTTGATTCCACCCTCTTCTTGGATGCAGAAAATACCTACATTTGCCTACTCTAGTTCGCCTGCTGTTCGTTTCTTGGGTTGGATGGCAGTATCTCGTGTTGCCAAACAATTCATAAATGATAGACTTTATCTTGTCTCTGATCTATCAGATCTGACTTGCATCTTATCAATCTTTGCAGACGAGCTTGCTGTAGTAGATAAATTTATTGATGTAAAATTTGGAGACACAAAAATGGAAACATTTCTCTGCCAGAAGGAATCCCTAGCCAGTGAAGCTTCTGAACGGAGTGATAATCGATCTGGATATCAGTCTTTACAAGTCCTATACCCATATCTTGGACTGTTCTTTCCGCAGATGAAGAAACAATTTGAAAGCTTTGGAGAGGTTATTTTAGAAGCTGTGAGTTTGCAACTAAGGTTGCTTTCTTCCGCTGCTTTGCCGGACATCTTGTGCTGGTTTTCTGATTTGTGCTCATGGCCCTTTTTTGACGAAGACCAATATTCAGGGAAGAATCCTGATTTTTTCAAAGGTTATGTGGCAAAAAATGCCAAAGCAATAGTTATCTTTATATTAGAAGCTATTGTGAAAGGACACATGGAAGCATTGGTTCCTGAAATACCACGTGTCGTGCAAGTATCGGTATCCCTGTGCAGGGCCTCATATTGTGATGTTGCATTTCTTAACTCGGTACTGATTGTGCTGAGACCAATTATTTCATATTCATTGCAGAAAGCTTTGGCTGAGGAAAAATTACCAAGTGATGATGGCAGTCTTGATTTTGAATCATTGTGCTTTGAAGAGCTATTCAAAAGTATGAGACAGAGAGATGATAGTCAAAGTACATGCATAAGAAAAGCATCCACCAGATCTCGGATGATATTTGTTCTTGCTTTTGTATTACCGGATTTATCTTTCCAAAGCAGAAGCGCTTTCTTGCAGTCTTTAGTTTTGTGGACCGACTTTCCTGTGTTCGAGCCAACATCTTCCTTCCATGACTACCTCTGTGCTTTCCAGGCTGTCTTAGACAGCTGCAAAGTTTTCTTATTGCAAGTTTTACAGGCATTTGGTTGTCTTTCTCTCCAGTTATCTGATGTTTCTAGTTCTCAAATGTTCAGTGAGAGCAAGGCCTGCAAAGAACCAAGGTTTCTTAAGGATATCTTACAGAATTCGTCATGTGTCTCTCATAGTCCAAGAATTAGCACATCTTCTGTTTCGAACCGACAGAGTTATAAATTAAGTACTGAGGCGGTGGAAGAGTTTACAAAGGACTTAGAAGGTTTCATCGTCTGTCTTCAAATGACAATCGAAAAATGCTGGAGTCTTCACCATCAACTGTCTAAGAAGCTTTCAGTCACCTCAGCAGAGTGCTTTGTATGCCTGAGATGCTTGGTTTCAGTTTTACCAACAATTCAGAATTCTGAAGTTGACAATGGTGAAAATCCTGATATTGATCATCTGCTGATCCACTGGAATAAAGGTCTAGAAGGGCTTGCTGAAATGGTTCTTGATCTTCAAGAAAAGTGCTGCTGGGAAGTAGCATCTACTACTGTTGACTGCTTGCTAGAGGCTCCTCCATGTTTTGAGCTTGAAAGTATCATAGATTTCGTTTGTTCCGCAATAAGAAAGAATGCCTTCTCTGCACCCAAACTTGTTTTGCGCCTGCAGTCTGAAAAGTGGTTATCACTCTTGGTTGGAAGGGTTGCCCATGGGCTTTGTGAAAGCGATGTTGCCCCTTTAGTTGATTTGTTTTGTACCATGCTGGGTCATCCTGAACCTGAACAGCGTCTGATAGGGCTCCAGCATTTAGCTAAGTTGGTTGGAAAAGATGCAGATGATGGGGTGGTTATGCAGCCTTCTATGGTTTTTGATAAACCTCTTGGCACTGTTAGTTCTGCACCTGAGCCAATATTTTCTCTTCTGGTTGCGAGTACATGGGATTCTGTTGTCGTGAGAGCTTCATCTGATACTTCAATGCCAATTAGGGCTCGTGCTCTTGCTCTTCTTGTAGATTTTATCCCTTTTGCTAACCAGAAGCTGGTACAAACCTTTCTGGGGGTAGCTGATAATGTACTTTATGGCTTTGGAAAGGGCAGTCAACCTGTGGGTGAAGGGCCACTGTTGAGGCTCTCATTAGCACTTATTGCTAGCTGTTGCCTTTATTGTTCAGCTGAAGATTTGGCATTGGTTCCTCAAAATATTTGGAAACGCATTGAGATTTTAGGTTCCTCAAAAACTGGTAAAATAACTTATCCATCTCCTACCATTGCCGGCATGAGATATGCAATATATTTTTTATGTTTAGTTTCTCTTTAATGTTTTCTTCTGTATAGATGGCAGACTCGGGGATGTAGAAAAAAAAGCTTGCCAACTATTGTGCAGACTGAGGGATGGGGATGAGGGAGCAAAAGAGGTAGACCTAAACATCTGAAAGTTGAACACTGACATGAGGCCGTCTTGTTTCTTTTACCTTTTTGCGAAAGACCTGCTCTGTTAAGTAAAGTTGTGTTATGTTTTTGTGTTTAAGGCCCTCAAAGTGGTGGTTTCTTCTAGTTCCGAAGAAAAATGCGATCCAGATTTTGAGTCTACTCGTCAATCAGTTCTAGAGGTGAGAGCTGTTATGGAGAAGGTCTCCATTGTATTAAAAATAAGATTTCATATTATTAAATAGTTTATCCCTGGTGTTAGTTTCTGTGCACCATGTAATTGCTCATCTAAGTTTAGATCAGCAACTAGTTTCTATTTACACGTCTGCAGCTGAGTAATCAACGATAGCAAAATTTGCTGTTTGAAATTCCATATGTACGTCTTCACAGTGTCGGTTTTCCTGAAAAACGTCGTCTTGTGAGATCTTCTCTTCTTTGCTGGCTCTCTAAACCGCAAGGCATGAAGATCATAAATCATCAATAAATTTGTTAAAGAAATGATGAAGTTAATCAGTTCCGGAAATCTGATTTATAAAATCTTTCTCTTTTATTGAGCAAGGAAAATTATATGATGTTTCTAAGTATTATTCTTATCTGACAGGTCCTTTCAAGTTTATCTTCTGCTCAGTTGTTCTTTGAGCTTTTTGCGAGGAAAGCTGATGAAGAGGCTATTGTGAGTATTAAAGTTTGACATTAATATTCTCTTTTTATCATTCCATAATCGCTACAGATTTATCTTGTTCTCAAAATAATAGGCACTAGAAGAGGCTGAGATGGAACTCAATATCGTCCAAAAAGAGTTTGGAGTGCTAGATCCATCGCCTTTCAACGAAGAGCATCAACTTCCTCATGTCGCAAGTATTAGCTTCTCTCTATGCTGCCCATCATATTATGACTTGTTCAACCCACATATGCTAATTGATTTTACGATCATATTAATCAGCCTCGCTGGAGATTGACAATCGCCTTCAGCAGATCAAGGATGACATATATGCAATGTACGTACTATTTAAATTAATTAGATTGAGGTTGCTGTAAGGCAGAGCTAGTTGCATATCTTAATATCCATGCTTTGCTTAATTCAAAACCCCAAGTAGAGCTGTTTAAGGCGTTAGGAGGAAGTTTGAAGGACAAGAATTGCCAGGAAATTTTCAAAATTAGTTTCCTTTTTTATGTGGTTTCTAGAAGTTCAAATTTTGGTTTTCTATTTTCTTTTGACTTTTTCTGATTAAGCGGATGAAGTTTAATGCGAGTCCATCTGCTGACGAAGTTAATGTCGTAATGATAGTGAACTTGTTGTGGGTCTGAGTTCTTGGTCATTCGTTTTTGTGTTGCCTTAAGTTTTAGTTTATTGGCTCAAGTGATAAAGGTTATGATTCAAACTAGCAACTCACGTGACAGCAGGGTTTTGTGTTATTATTTACATTTGTAGTGCATTTCTTTCATCTTGGCAACTTGGTATGTTGTCAGGGAAAAGGCAAAACTTCGAGAAGACATAGTAGCCCGCAGGCAAAAGAAAATTCTTATGATGCGTGAGCGACAGAAGTATCTGGAAGAGGCTGCTTTGCAGGAAACTGAGCGCCTTCGAGAATTGGATAGGTTTGTGTTCTGTTGTTTAATTTAGCTATGATATTAAATTAAATTATGAACTTTTTCTAGGCTAGGAATAGTAGTTTGATTGTTGGGAATGGGATATATTGGTTAGAGAAAGAGCAGCTGAAGCAGAAAAGGAAATAGAGAGACAGCATGCCCTGGAACTCGAGAGGGCGAAAACTAGGGAGCTTCGAAACCAACTTGAGATGGAGAAGGAGAAGCAAGCACAGGCAAGAATCTCCGACTCGCACTCGCCTCTATTCCCGCCTATCCATGCTTGCCATTGTCATATTTTTTGTCAAATCCGTCTTATTTACTATATCCAGAGGGGCATACAATGAGAATAATAATTAATTATAGGGGGGGGGGGGTCTTCCCATGGTCTACGTGCTAGCCCCACATTTTATACATGATGAATGCTCAAAAATGCCCATCCTAAATTCTTGGAGAAAGGGATTGTCACATAGGTGATAACTAGATATACTCCTGATGTTTCTGAACTCGAGGGTGTTTTGCAATTGGGGGGGGGGGGGTCTTCTCATGGTCTACGTGCTAGCCACACATTTTATACATGATGAATGCTCAAAAATGCCCATCCTAAATTCTTGGAGAAAGGGATTGTCACATAGGTGATAACTAGATATACTCCTGATGTTTCTGAACTCGAGGGTGTTTTGCAATTGGGACGAGGACGGAGTAAATATAAGTGTCTTCAACCGTTTACTTTTTCTTTTTCTCAATATATATGCATAATTTTTTTTTGGGTAGAGGGAGCTTCAACGTGAACTGGAGCAAGCAGAGTCAGGATTACGATCCTCAAGGCGGGACTTCTCTACCTCTCACAGTGGGTAAGTTTTGTCGATCCCTTGGATCTGTCACACATGCTTCTTCTTGCTCGTCTGGTAACAAAACGTAACAATGAATTCAAATAATATGATGAATTCATTTTCTTCAGACATTTTCACGGTACTCAACCGAGGCTAACTTTTTTACATCGCAGCCGAGCTAGGGAAAGGTACCGGGAAAGAGATAATGGAAGATCTGGAAGCGAAGGAGGCACAAGAACAGGCACCGGAAGCTTTCAACAAGAAGCCGGTTCATCCATGGTCAATACGCCAACAGTGGTTCTATCGGGCTCAAGGTCATTCTCTGGTCAGCCTCCCACCATCCTCCAGTCTCGTGACCGTTTAGACGAATGCGGAAGCAGCTACGATGAAACCGTCGAAGGAAGCAGAGACTCAGGAGACACGGGAAGCGTCGGAGAGGTAGAGATGGGTCATGGGTTTGAAGGGCAGCCTGGTAATTTTGTGTTGGGACAGCGACTCGGTGGTGGGTCTAGAGGAGGCAAGCCGAGACAGGTGATGGATAGAAGGGAGAGAGGTGAGGGTCGGCGTGAAGGGAAATGGGAACGAAAACACTGAGAGGAGATGATGGGTCGGTTTGCCCCTTCGAAATGTACCTTAAAGATTGGATAGCCGCGTTTGAAACGCCAAGCAGCGTTTGGTGTTTTAAGCAAACGCTGGATTATTGTTGTTAGCATTTAAAACGCAAACGCAGGGATTTACTGTTTCTCCTCGGGAGTGTTTGTACGTACTTTTGTCGTTGTTGTAGTATGAGACAGACATCTGTGCTTCTTACCAGAGTTTATTAGGTGAAAGCCCGTGCCATGCACGTGTAATCTTGAATATGATGATGATGATGATGGTGGTGGTGGTGGTGATGATGCTGATGATGGTGGTGCTGATGATGATGGTGCTGATGATGAAACATAGTATCGTTATAATGGGAGTGTAAATTGGTGTCTGAAAATAACATCATCATCCACGTCGGCATTCAGCCAGGTTTCATCAAAGCGCATTCCTCTTAAGTACGATAACACATTCCCTGTCATTAGTTGTCTTAACGAAATCATCGAGAGGGAATTCGGTGAGCTTCTTAGAGAACCGATCGAACAATTCATCGACCAAACCTTGTCCGAAATGTTCCGCCATGAATCCATGGTAAAGTCCGCGATACATCGAGACAATGAGGTCATGGCTTATACTCCCATCCTCGAACGGCTTCTCTATTTCCTCGATCATCTCGACGCTGAAGCTTCTGTTTCGTTCGATCGCTTCCTTCATTTCCCTGAAATATGGGAAGTATTTCGGTATCTCGAAAGACCGAGCCTTTTCCTCGCTGATTACCCCCTATACCTCGGATCAAGAACCAAAAAAAAAACAAAACAAAAGGGTCGTTATCGAAATATCATTTTGTGTATCTTGATCTTTTCATTGATCTATGTACAACTGTACATTAGGGTTTCATATTCAAGAAGTTAACCGAAGCTCCAAGCTATATATATATCTTACCGACTCGGCGATGTCGATAAGGCAGCCGAGGAAGATCTCCTTGACAAAACCCTTGAGTGTTTGAGCGTAGGGGACACCGTCGGAGAAACACAGTCCCAAGACGATCATCAATCCTCCGGGGACAAGCTCCTCGGATCTTGCTTCAAGAAAATTCTCCATGTCTTTCTTGAACTGTTCCTTGTGAGCCTCAGAGTTCGGTTCTCCAATGTTTTCTCCGGGGACTCGGGACAGCCAGTGGAGCGTGTAGGAGGTGTGTCTGATGTGGAGGCTGTTCCTAGGGAATACCCGGCCGTAGAACGAGCCGGGAACTCCCGCCGCGAAACAATTTTCGTTCTTGGGTAATGTTTTGAAGAGGGTGTTGAAATCGTTGTCCGGTTGATCGTTGAAGAAAACATGAAACTCGAGATCTTCAGGGTTGTTCATATTGTTTTCTTGCTGATACTTGATCTTTACGGCATCCAAGATGTTCTTGACAGAATCAGTGTTAGGTCCAATGGAACAACCGAAATCAGCGATTCTTACGACTTTTTTAAAATGTTTCCGAGTATCGAGCGTAGCGACGACGGCATCTCTAATTCTTTCCATGGTATTGAATATTCCTCCTCTCTGTATAAATCACATGGACTATATAACACACATATACATATATATAGATGTATAGATTGGTTTATGGAGTAAATTGAGTAAGACTCACTTGTACGGAAGAATTGCGAGCATAACTATGAGTACCATCACCTCCGGACATTGGGAACGACTGTGTCCGTATGGACTTTGGATCTCTCTCCTCCATTTTCTTCTAAATTTTGAACTGTGTTCCGGTAATAATATATAGAAACGTCAAACGATATTATATACAATGCATTAATCGGAGATGTCGACGAAAAAACCAAAAAAAAATAGCATTTAAGTATTTATAAAACTATTTTTTTTAAAAACTTGAAAAACAATTTTGTTGAAAAAAATTAAAATTATATTTTTTTATTTTACAAATATTATAAATCTAAAAACAAAAAATTAAAATTAAACATCCAAAATAAAATATATATATCCCTATTCAAAATCTAAAATATAATTATTAAACTCTAAAATTATTTTTTTTATATTCACAAAATATATAGAGAGAATTTAAGTTTGGTAAGATTAAAATATAATTACGTTTTTATTTTTGCATGTTGAAAAATACGTGGAACTGTGGAAGCGACTCCGACAGCTCCGTCTTTGGATTCGTTGTGGGCCACCACCACGACTTTATCATCTAACCATAATTTAGTTTTAATTCTTTTATGAAAAAATTAGGTATTGTTTTTTTTTTCTTTCTAGTATCAGTATTTTTGGATTCTTTTATTTTTTAAAATTACCTAATATTCGGTGTAAAACAAAATTTGGAAGATGATATATGGCGCTGTTAATTTCTCGATCCAGTTATCCAATTATATATATATATATATATTTGAATGGAGGAACAATACAAAGCTTGAGAACGACTCATCAGAGAGAGTGACTGCCAAACCAATACCAATCCATGAGATCGAATTGACAAAATCTTTGAGCTTGAAAGATACGTTACATCTTCCGAAACTGGGGCCTTTGCTTTCCTTTCACAAAAATAAAATAAAATAAAATAATCCACCCTTATATTTGATTAATTAATAAAATAAAATCCATTTGTTTTTTTTTTTAAATTGTTTAATAGTTTTCCTCTGTTTAGATATTCCAAACCAAAACTGGGCCTTTGCTTCCAGGGAAAAAAAAAGTTAATCACTTTGATATTGGGCCTTCTTTACGCTGAGGCTATCTGCAAATAAAACACTTTCAGGCAAGGCCCTGTTCTATATATACAGAGACCAACTAAAGCAAGTGTTTCCGGTTTTCGGTTATAAAAAATCATAAATCAATTCGGTTTTATCAAAATAAAATTATAACCGGGCGATTTGAGTAAGTAAAAGACAACAATACCGATTTAATATTTCCAAGAATAACGTTCTGAAATCGATATCACGGTATATATATATATATATGTATAGAAACAAAAAACCAACACGAGTGCTGTTATTATATAACCGAAATCATCAGACCAAATTTCGCCTAAGTACGATAACGTATTCCCTATCGCTCGCCGTCTTCTTTATATCGTCGAGAGGGCATTTGGTCAGTTCCTCGGCAAATCGGTCGAATAGCACATCGACCGAACTTTCTCCGAAATGTTCGACCAAGACTCCATGGTAGAGTCCTCTGTAAACCGAGACAACGAGCTCGTGGCCCACGTCAACATCCTCGTACGCGTGCTTTATCTCCTCCATCATCTCCACGCTGAATCGCCGGTTCCGCTCCATCGCTTCCTTCACTTCGCTGAAATGCGGGAAGTATTTCGGAAAGCTGAACGTTTTCGCCTTCTCCTCGCTTATTATTCCCTGTAAAATCACGGATCAGGAACGAGAACAGTGTCGTTATTCGCTGTTCTTCCGAGCTTCTTGATCTTGATTGCTCGAAAACGAACGAGATTTCTTACCGCCTTGGCGATATCGATCAGGCAGCCGAGGAAGATCTCCATGACGATACCCTTCCCGGTTTGGGCGAAGGGGACGCCGTCGGAGATACACAGTCCCAAGACGATCATCAGTCCTCCGGGGACAAGTTCCTCGGATCTCGCTTCAAGAAAATTCTCTATGTCTTTCTCGAACTGTTCCTTGTGAGCCGGAGAGTTCTGTTTTCCGATGTTTTCTCCGGGGACTCGGGATAGCCAGTGGAGCGTGTAGGAAGTGTGGCCGATGTGGAGGCTGTTCCTAGGGAATACCCGGCCGTAGAACGAGCCGGGAACTCCCGCCGCGAAACAGTTTTCGTTCTTGGGTAAGGTTTTGAAGAGGGTGTTGAAATCGTTGTTGGATTGATCGTTGAAGAAAACATGGAACTCGAGATCTTGGAGGTCGTCGTCCACATCGTCTTCTTGTCGGAACCTGAGTTTGACGGTGTCGATGATGTGCTTGACGGCATCGAACGTGTTGGGCCCAACGGAACAGCCGAAATCCGCGATTCTCACGATGTTGTTGTTACGATCGAAATTAGGGTTTCGAAGATCGAGATTCGCCAAGATAGCTTCTCGGCTCTTGTTCAGAGCATTGAATAGTCCTCCTCTCTTATATATATATATATATATATATATATATATATATATGTAAATAAAACATCAATTTTAAAAATGGTTTTGTGAAATTAAAATATATATAAAATCGACATGACTCAGACTCACTTGTAAGGAAGAGTTGCGAGCGTAACTGTGAGCTCCATCGCCTCCGGACATTGGGAACGATTCTGTCACTGTCGGCTTTGGATCTCCCTTCTCCATTTCTTCCTTCAACAAAAATTAATGTTCACACCCATTGTCACTTAGTTTTATAGCTCTGTCCCAATTAAATAAAATATTATATAAATTAAATTAGTATTGGTTGAATGTGGATTCCAGTTCATATTGTCCATTAATTTATTCGAAAGTCAGTGATGTTTATATTATTCTTTTACTGATTATATTATTTTTTCTCATTAAATGTTGGACCAAGGAAATTGAACGGACCAATAGAGTGCACCATATGACGTCATGGTTTACATCATCTCTGAACATTACTTTATAATTCACGAATGATAAAGGCAATATTAGACTTTACGTGCACGCAAGTTCACAAGGTCAAATATTTTTACCAGAAATAAAATAAAAAAACTAAATATTTCATTAGATAATATTAATTATTAATTAATTAACGAACGCTTGCGTCTCTGGACCCTAAACCGAATAATATCCAGATTCAAAATCTATTGTCATATTGGATTATCCAATTTCATGTAACTACGAAACATTCTAAATATTCGGATATCTTTGATCGGTAATTTCTTTAAAATGAGATGAAAACCATAAGTATTTTGGTAATTTCTTTAATTAAAAGGGTAATTTAGTCTTTTAATAAACTTAGACAAAACGTTATCAACTTCAAACACAGAAAAACAGCATAAAAAGGGTCCTAATCGCGGGCGCATTTATCATGAAGCAGACAGTTAGCAACCAGTCCTTACACATCAAAGCATCGACCAAGTCGATGAATCCGGCAACCTTAAATACGATCCGTTCGTACGGTCACGAACGCAACAAGCCTTCTTCTAAGTTCTTATCATACTTCACCTTGAGTTGTTTGGAACCAAACGACGGCAAGAGTCACGAGAGACGCGTAAACCGCGTTGGGAAGCTTCTGCACGACTTTCCCGACGGCAGGGACGCCCTCCGTGGCCCTTTTCGTGGCCATGGCCACGGTTGGAGCCACGACCAAAGATATGATCAAACCTTGGCTCACCACTGTGAACGTGTCGGCCGTGAGCTGCTGGATAAACCTCACAAACTCTTCTCGGTCGATTTCTCCGTCGAGGTTCATGTCACAATCCTATATGCGGAATATATCACGAGTTGCAAACAGGATGAGGTGTTATTACTGATAACTTACAAAGTACCTTCTGATAAGATTTGAGAAAGTTGTAGAAAGTTAATTTTTGAAAGTTGATTTTGTGAAAAAGAGGATACAGTATATATATATACACACACACACTAATACCTTCATCAAGCTTCTGATTTGGTCCTTAGAAGGAGGGTCGAAGTGGGGACCGGGCAAGCGCTTGTTTATGTCACTGAAATATCCAAACAAGACAACATGCGACTCGTAAGCCCAAGATCCATAACATATGACTCCTTTTCAAATTGGGAAATCTTGAAAAAAATTCGTATAAAATCGAGATGAATCAAACTTCTGACTTGTAAACGAGGAGCACGGCAATGTAAAGCTCTTCAAACGTCAGATTGGCCCTCCCGGTGTGACTCTTAAACCGATCGAAAATCTGATCACTGAACTTCTTTATTTGCTTCTCCCTCCATTGCTTACCTGCGTTCACGCACAATAATTAAGAACATCCAATGTCGTCGTTCTTGCGATGATAATACCGGTACCCCGAGCTCGAGAAAGGAGCGAGCAGAAGATGCGATCTTTCAATTGGGTTTTCAAGACCTAATCTTTTGGATCTTCCTTCAGTTTTGCTTCTGAGAAGAGCCATGGAGGGATACTAAACTTGAATTCTGCAATTTACTGGAAACTTTATAATCTGTTCAGTCAAAAGTGTTGTGCTCTATGAAACCACGTACACGATCAGAAGAGGAGAAGATTCAATACTTCAATACTGCTGATGAATTTGAAGAACCTTTCTATATTAAAAAAAAAATGAAAATCTCAGACCAGACATCATGAAACATCTCCAAATCACTGCTTTCTTAGACGGAAACCGCTTATGTCTTCCGTTTCAACCGTGAAATGATTCTTGTTTTGTCCGATCTCCTCCCCGATTCAGAGTTTAGTCTCTTGCTACCCTTTTAACAGCACTCCCAAGTTCTAATCCCTAATCGGGGGTTTCAATCGATGTCTCCCGTGAATCGTAGCACAACCCGAATTTGTCCCGTTAATGAAGATCCGAATCCTGAATCAAACGAAGCAGAAGAACCCTATCGTACGCGGAGATTCAGAGACAGAGACATACCTCGAAGCTTATCGAAGACTTGTCCCATGGTGTCGCAGTTCTTTGCTTGTGGGGATTAAAGAGTGATAGCAACAAGAAACAAGGGAAGAAGAAGAAGAAGATGATGATGATGATGGGTTTTGAATTTGTGGATCTGAAGGGGACAAACGTGATGATCCTCTGTTTCAGTTCGAGTCTTCCCCCGCTTGATCCTAGATTTTCTCAATTCGTTGTGCTACGATGTGGGCTCCACTTGATTTTCACGGATAATAAAAAAAAAAAGGGGGAAGAAATTAGTGTAAATAATCTGTAATTTAAGAATTCGTAGTCCAGCCCTACCTACAGCCGCATACTCCGTAGAAGTACGCGTATGCTACATGCGAGTCCACTCAATATATATATGATTTTTATAAAATTGTCAATTTATTTATTTGGATTTATTTAAACTCTTATGTATAAATGTACAAATACAATGTTTTGTTTAATGGAAAGCCACAAACATTATTCTCTAAAACTGTAGCAAAACTCATTCTATGAGACAAATTAAGGTTGTTTGGAGCATCCATTTGGTTTAATGGTTAGATGGATTTAGTTAATTTTCAAATTCAAATCCATAAAATTTTAAAAATGGATTTGGAAAAATGACACCTTTTAATGTTAGGCCGATACATATATGTTTTCTAAAAATTATATATAAACCCTTTTACAGAAAAAAAAAAAAGACATATTAATTAGGAATTATTAATTACCCTTTGAATTAGCTCAATACAAGACAAAGCAGCACACGGATATGTTCGAATGGAACAGAACATTACCCTTTGTTTGAAACAACAATGGTCAAACCTCGAGAACACGTTTAATATTATCGATATTTTTGTTTAAAATTAAAAAAAAAAAGAAACAAAATGTGTATGAACGACTGAAATTGAAGAAGAGAATCGTTGATTTCAACTCTATTTGTTTGTATTGTACCAAATGCTCCTCATACGTTACTCTTACATTCTTCCTTCTCTTTTGACATTTTCCAACCCATTCCTTCAATCCCAAAATTTAATATTATTTTTTTTCATCTATATATACGTGTATATATATACACACATCATAAAATTATTTAGAACTTACAAGGGATGATGAAAAATAATATTAAGATGCTACCAATGCAACTTTAGCCACGTGCTAGATTAATGGAAACGTTTGTCCTATGACACATACATATAGTTTCTCATATTAACATAATAAGTATTTATATGGAAGAGAAAAAAAAAATGGTGTTCTGTGTTCACATTGGCCAAAAAAAAATAACAAAACCCAACAGATCGTGGGCGAGTGGTCAAGCTGGAGATAGGAGGTAACTCCACCTTGAAATTGGGTGTTCGATTCTTGGCTGGTAGAGAGAGCTAATTTCGGGGTTTATATGATCCATATACAAAGACTGCTCCCGGGTCAGAGATTTACCTAGTCAATGCGTCCGAAGGGTAGTAACTAGGGATCTTCCGTTAAAAAAAAAAATCACGAGTAATAATATTGTCCCCCTATAGCTTGACGCGATAAGTTGATAAAAACACCGTATACTGATATTTACATCAATATACAGATAAAAACCGATCTAGTATGAACGATGCGATTATATATTGGTTATAATGTTGCAAGTATATATAGGACTCTATATCTATATGGATATATGAACACATGTAAACATATACACACATACAAGTTTGTGCAATCAAATGCATTGAAGAGAAAAGGTGAATTTAGCAGCTTTATTACTTTGCATATAAATCCATTTGGCTTGTTGTGTGTATAGACCAAGACCACACTTACATATAAACCCGACCCAAGTGGCTTAAAATCTTCCACAAAACTTTCTTTTTTTTCCCCCCTCAAAATGGGTTTTCTTCGTCTAATCACTGTTCTTCCTCCCATGATCTGTCTCCTCCTTCTTCTTCTTCTTCTTCTTCCATGGAGCAGTGGAGCAGCAACTGTTCAATCTCCTTTTCAAGGTTTAGGGATTAGGAGAAGAGGGCAAATCACAAATCTTGTTAAGCTAACATTCGCCATCGATTGCTTCAGAAGAGCTGCGAGAATTCCGGTTTCTGGACCGTCGAAAAGAGAGAACAGGCTCGAGAAAGGAGGTGAAGCTTTTAATCGACATTCTCCTCTCAGCAAATCAAACAAACCCTAGACAGTGAGGAGTGTTATATATATATATATATATATATATATATCACGAAGCTAATGTATGGAGTGGGAACTAAAGGTATGTTTTTCTTCTATGTGGAGAGAATGAGGACATGAACATGACTAATCCTATCATGCATGTTCATACTTTCATTTTCTTGTTTCCGTAATTTTGTTGTTATGAATGATGATATTTAAATAATAAAAAAAATATGTAAAATTCCATATGCAAGCGATATTTGTCCTTGTGGCTTGGAAGTTCGGTGTTGTGCAATGATTTCATGATTTAATTTTTGGGCTTGCAAATCTTTAATTTGGACTGATATATATAATATAACAATTTGATGCATTAACTCTTGTAGTTAAGTTGCGAGTTTTACCCCAAAAAGTCATAATTATGTTCTAATGATATATATATATATATATCATTAGAAACTCAAAGCGTATTATGAAATAAAATTTTATGATTTAAAAGATAATATATCGTCATTTATTCATTATTTATTCAAAATCAGCTGTGCTTTGAAATTGCACCACTTCATGCCAAGGAATACTAATTAGTGTCATATGAAACCATTAATTAGTGGATAGAGATCGTTACACGTGTCGAGTTATCATCTACATAGTATATGGTCTATACTAATTCATGCATGAATCTTCCATTCATTCATCAATAGACCGTTAAGTATCTTATAAGATATTTCTGATTCAAACAAATCTTTCTACGAATCAAATAATAAATTTTGTTCGCTTGTATATTACGACTTTTATTTGACAACATGCAAAATATCTCACCATTCTTTTACCGGCTGCTTGTAGAAAATTAAGAAGCACAATATAATTTCGTAATCGTCTTCTAAAATTGAATATTATGGTATAAATATATCATGCTCCCTGTTATATACAAATCATTGTTTTTTTTTTCATATAGATTTATATAATAAAAAGTATTCAACTTACTTTTCCATTCAAAACCATTAAAAAAGATCTATAATGAAAAATAGCTTTTGAAAAATGTCTTCCGGACAAAACCATTATTTTTCTTATTATTTTTTGTTATATTCATATCCAAATAAATGATATTTTTTTATGATTTGTTTTGTTCAAATAAAAAGTTACCGTTGTTTACAATGAATTTTGAAAATTCAAATATTAGTTTGTTTTTTTATTGTAATTCTTTTGTGTAAGTTTTGTTATGTAAATCCAATAATCTAGAATTTTTTTTTGTATGAGTATGATAATTTTTGATTTTTTTTATTGAAGATTTAAAGAGTTGATTTTTTTTTTTACTATAGGTTTTATAAGCTCTAAATTAAATAAATATCCTTTTTATTATAAAATTTGGAAGCGAGAAGAAAAGAAACCAAAACCAGGAGAAAGAAAATCACCGATGCATCTTCCTGAGACCGGAAGAAAACCCAGAAATTCACTCTTTTTCCTCCTTTCTCTCTCTAGAATTCTCCCCCCCACCCTCCGCTCCCCTCAATTTCTCTCCGGCAGGCAATCCATTGATCTTTTCCTACTCTTTGTGCCGATACTTTCGTCATCCGATTTCATTTTCTTCCCTAAGTCGCAGAGTTGAAATTCCCGTCTTCTTCTGCTTCTGGTATTCTCCTGACGGCGTAAAGCTCGATTCTTTTCTATACATTCACTGTTGGATTATCGATGGTCCGATGGATCTGTTTAGGGTTTCGAGTGCTCTGGCTTGGGTTTGATTGGATGAGAAAAGGGGGCATGGGACTTGAATCTATCGGTCGGTTCCGTTGATTATCGGAAAGCCCAGATTTCTGGGTTTCAAGGTGCAATTCGATTGGTGATCGATCGTTCCCTTTCTTCGATTCTGTTATGCGTCGGTGATTCGTCGTGATTTGTGTGGATGAGAGTGTTTAGCGTGGTCAATTGAGGTCTTGTTGCTTAGGTTGTCTCGTTTGGATCAATGGATGATGTCGGTTCCAGCGATGGAGGTGTGTCTCGAGCTCGTGAAATGTGTTCTCAAGGAGCACCGACGCCATGGGAGCCGATGCAACTGGATTTCAGGCGTTATGTTTCGCCGAGAGAGTCCATGAGCTTGCCTAAGCCATTGCGTGTCGCTGTTAAGAAGTCTGTAAGTGAAGATCACATACTTTATGATTGAAATGCTAGTGGGAATAGCTTCTTTCATCTTTGAATGCATCAAAGTACTAAGCTTTGTCGCTTGACGCTCATTGTATGTATAATGCTACCTGCTTACTTAATCTCATAGAAAAACGGTTCTCAAATTTTGTTTGTAGAATATGAATGAAGACGAAATAAGGGATGTTTATGATAGGTTGGAACTCAAATAGAAATCTCCTTTTTATAAGTTTGCATGCTGCAACGCAGTTTTAGGTGTCCGATATATTAGGAGGTGGCTGAGAAAATCTCTGCAATAAAACTCGTCGTTGAAGATATTTCTGCTCTATATTGGTTAAAGATGCATCACAACATGGGTTGCAGTAAATTGCGAATGTTTTAGGCATGAGGGCAATAGGATTTGCATTTGATGGATTCTGTTTTACTTGAATAGTTGGTATTGTGTAAGGATTAGGCAAGGAGCTTTGTTGGACTTCCTAATGGGTAAGTGAGGTTGGTTGACATTAACGTTACCTCTCTAGACAGTTGCGGCATTGACTAGAATAAGCAAATAGTATTCTTGTCATTTGATTATTCTAGAGAGTGTAAATTGGATTCATTCAGCTATTATTGGTGGGCAAAGATTTGGAACAAATCGACCTGTAAATGTGTTTGTTCTTCTTGTAAGGGTTTTAAGTCAGATTATTCTCATATGCTGTTGTTTATCTATGTCGTTCTCTAGTATTGCATCCCTGTTGCGATCTGAAATCTGTTCAGAATATTAAGTTTATACCTGGAATGTACACGGGGCTGGAATTAGTGATGACCTTTTTTCTGCTTGCAGTTAGTGGTAAAACTTACGAGGGACATAGTCGAGACGTATAAAATATGCAACCCACAGTTCAAATATTCGGGAGAATCCAATCCCAAACGGTACTTGACTAGCCCGTCAGTTGGTGTGCTCAATGATGGTTTTGATAATTCAAACTCAGATTTAATCCTGGGTGTGAATGATGTCTTGGCCAGTTCAGATTCACAGCAGAGGTTTGCTAGTTTTATTAATACCTTTGAACTTTCCTTTCACTGATGTTGTAACCCTTGTTGTGCTGTCGGAAGCATACCATTTAAGAATTCTATCCAAGAAGATGTATGTTTAATGAGCTTCTGTTTCTTTGCTACCAGATACATTGTCAAAGATCTTCTTGGGCATGGTACTTTTGGGCAGGTTGCGAAATGTTGGGTTCCTGCAACAAACAGCTATGTCGCCGTGAAAATAATTAAAAACCAGCCTGCATACTATCAGCAGGCTCTGGTTGAAGTATCTATTTTGACAACGGTACGTAAACATTCATCTGTTGAATGCTCTGCATTGATATTATTAGTGAAATGTATGTGCTTTAAGTGTTTGCTTGTCTCTGTAGTTAAACAAGAAATATGATCCAGAGGATAACAATCATATTGTTCGCATATATGATTACTTTTTACATCAGCGTCATTTGTGCATATGCTTTGAACTTCTTGACATGAATCTGTAAGTTGTATAACTCCCTTATATATTCTCCTTATATCTTATAAATGTTTCTTCCATGTGATTTCTTCCTGGCACACAATTATTCTCCTTTGTGGTTAGTAATTTATGCTTTCTCAGGTATGAGCTTATAAAGATAAATCAATTCAGAGGATTATCATTAAGCATTGTCCAGCTCTTCTCTAAGCAGGTATTTAGCTTTTCTCGAGAGTTGCACATGTACTCGTTTATCTATTTTTGTTGTCTTGTTTCTATTTTTTACTGGTCGCTTTTGGCATCTTATAGATTTTACGTGGGTTGGCTCTCCTGAAAGATGCTGGCATAATCCATTGTGATCTGAAGCCTGAGAATATTCTTCTATGCACCAGGTGCACTTTAGCATGATTATTAGTTGCTAAACTGGAATTGATACCTTCATTTGATGTTGAAATTTGTATGTCGAATGTATCAGTGTGAAGCCTGCTGGAATCAAGATAATTGACTTTGGATCAGCATGCATGGAAGATAGGACTGTTTATTCTTATATTCAGGTTTCTTTTGGCTTATTTCTACATATCTCTACTATTTCTTCTAGCCTTTCCATTTCTGTCATGTAAAACCTTGCAATGCCTAAGTTGGCTGTTCACATCTTCTGCAGAGTCGTTACTACCGATCACCTGAGGTTTTACTTGGATACCAGTATCCTTTAGACTGAATTTCTTTCTCATTCTCATTAGTTGATTTCTACTGCTATCTTTCCATCTATTTATTGCAGCCAAACCACTCTTCTTGCGTGACAGTTCTCTTTGATGGTCAAGATAGAAATAAATAGATGGTTTTCTCTTTTAAATATTTTTTCGTGTTACGATATCTCAAGGATTATGGCGTTGCATTTTTAGGTGTGTTAACGTGTTTCAGCATTGTGGCATCTTATTTCTTTTCTGGTTGGAGCTCCACTTTGATCTATTTTGTGAACTCTTTTAACTTTGTTGCAATATCATCAACAAATTCTCGAGGTTTTTATCCCCGTGTACATTTTGAAATCAAAACGTATCTCGGAACTAAACTTCTTGCCTATTGCTTCTCATGGGTCATGACATTCCTATAGCATCTTGAAGATAAACGTGGATGCTTAACCACTTTATAGATATGCTACAGCCATTGACATGTGGTCTTTTGGCTGCATTGTTGCTGAGCTGTTCCTTGGATTGCCTTTATTCCCTGGTGCTTCAGAATTTGATCTTTTGAGCCGAATGATTGAAATACTTGGGTATGATCCTTCTTTTCTTGGATTGGTAAATGTGCATTAGGAGTTGTGACTTCTCCGAGCCTATTACCATTCTTGTTTTCTCTCTTGCGTATTTGTATTTGTTTATCATATTGTGACAAATTTTTTCCTGTCTTGCACTTGGCCTACTCTTGGAAGCTCTTATTTTGAAGCTCTATTTTTGTAATAGCAACTTGGAAGAATGTGTGAAAATTTGTTGGACAAGTTTCTGACTTTCCACTAGATTAAAATTATTGATTCATGTGGTAGTTTGTTTGCATATCCTGCTCTTGCATGTTCATTTTGCAGCAAAGTTACTATTAGACTTTTCAGAAACATATACGTGTGCATTTGGAACTGTCTTAGCACTCCCTCTTGACGTTATGGTTTTGTGCTCACCTATTTTTTGGGCCATGTCTATGAAGCTGCATTTTTCGCACGTTAATCTATCTACTATATTTTGCCTATGGAATTTGTCGTTTTGTTTTAGTCTTCTCTAATGCTTATATGGCTTTTCTCTGCAATTCCATTTTGAATTTTTTACATACACTTGGCTATATGATTGGTTCTCTTTAGACACACGATAAGTTTATGGCCACCAGGGTTCTTTTCTTAATTTTTTTCTTGTATATATGATCGACTTTTTTTTTATCTTCAGTGAACAACCACCTGATTATGTGCTCAAGGATGCAAAAAATATGAATAAGTTTTTTAAATGTGTTGGGAGTGTTCACAATCTAGCGAATGGTGAAATTTCCGGGGGCATCAAAAGTGCTTATATGGCATTGACTGAAGAAGAGTTTGAAACTGTAAGTAAATCTGAATCTCTCTGAGAAAGGGAAAAAAAGGAGTGGGATGGAGTAAGTATGGAAAAACTAATATGATGAACATATTAGTGACTGAGCACGCATAGGTGCTTCATGGAGATATCTTTTCTTGCATATCTGAATCATCTTTTCATAAAGGTTTGCCCTTGTTGTCAAATCCTTTTATTTGTCTAAACTCTTGCTCTTCTCTTCTGTTAAATTTGCAGAGAGAGAAGAAAAAACCAGCAATTGGGAAAGATTACTTCAACCATAAAAACCTTGAAGCAATTGTTAAAAGTTATCCTTACAGAAAAAACTTGCTTGAAGAAGATATCGTTAAAGGTAAGCACATGTCAAACAACTGTGCTGATTTTTGTGTACCACGACTGTGCCATTTTCTGTGAATTCACTTATTTTTCCTATACTATTGCAGAAACTCAAGTCCGGTTAGCTTTGATTGATTTTCTGAGAGGACTTGTTGAATTTGATCCTGCAAAACGTTGGTCACCTTTTCAGGTAAACCCCCTGGTTTAGAATAGTTCTTTGAAATTTTTAGGAAGTACCGTGGTGCATGATATTTGCGGACGACATCATGTTAATAGATGAGTTCAGAGGAGGAGGAGTAAATGAACAATTAGAGTTATGGAGGAGTACATTAGAGGCTAAGGGTTTTAGGCTTAGTAGGACGAAAACTGAGTATATGCATTGCGATTTTAGTGCCGGACGTTCTAGTGATGTAGGAGTTAACTTACAAGGAGGACTAGTACCTTAAAACCCGCATTTTAAATATTTTGGTTCAATCCTTCAAAAGGATGGAGGTTGCAACGAAGATGTTAGTCATAGGATAAAAGCAGGATGGATGAAATCTTGGATTAAAAAAACGCGCCTTAACTGCGCGTGAGGCGCAGAAGCACTAATGCGATGTCCAGAAAGCGGCCAGAAGCGCACTTCTTCCCTGCAATAAATGCAGGCGTGAGGCGCCTCATCAAGGATGATGAGGCAAATAAAAAGAAAAGTATATAATTTGGAAGATGAAAAGACAAAGAAGAATAAGAAGAATATGGAGGAACTTAAAAAATTATTAATTTTAGCTAACTTTTGATACAACGTAATAATTACATTAGGTAGTATGAGCTTCGGTAACTGCCGAAGAAATCCAGAAGTGATTCAATCTTAAGCTTGGATTAAAAAAGCGCGCCGCCTTTAATGCAGGCTTGAGGCGAGGATGATTGAGGCAAATAAAAAGAAAAATGTATAATTCGGAAGATGAAAAGACAAAGAAGAAGATGAATGAATAATATCGAGGGACGTAAAAAATTATTAACTTTAGCTAACACAGTGTAATTACGCTACTGTCTTGAATGGAGGGAGGTTTTTATTCGTTTTTGGATTTAGTTTTTGGATTTTGGATTTTGGATTTTAGTTTTTATAGATTTATAAATCTAAAAAAACTGTAGCTTTTTTTCAATAAAATAGTTTTTCTGGTTTTTAAAAAAGACTAATTTTAAAAAATTTGATTGGTAACTTAAGTTTTAAAAATCTAAAAACTCCAAAAACTCTATGTGTAGCTTGAGAAGAACATATATGTATATATGTATAAATTTTAATTAATAAATAAAATATTTTATACCTAATATAATTTTCATTGATTATTATAAATATTCATTTACTGTTTTTGTAAATACTAATCTATAATAAAATAATATATTATAATTTTTAATTGAAATGAATTTATTTTCATTAGATTTTTAATAACTACACTGTAAATATAATAATTTTAAAAAAATATAATTTTAATTTAATGTTTGAATATAATTTTTTATTTTTTTATAAAGCCTTATTTATTTAATTCTTATTTATTCAATAGAAATATTTTTGCGCCTCGTATCGCATTGCGCCTCACGCCTCGGTTTTTTAGACCTTTTGCGCCTTGAGCAGCCTCGCGCTTTTTTAAACCAAGGATGAAATGGAGACAAGCCACGGGGGTCCTTTGCGATTACAAAGTTCCTATACGGTTGAAAGGGAAATTCTATCGTACTTCCATAAGACCCGCATTGATGTATGGTAGTGAGTGTTGGACGGCGAAAGGATAACTTGTATCCAAAATGTGTGTGGCCGAGATGAAAATGTTGTGATGGATATGCGGACATACACGAATAGACCGAATTCGAAATGACAGTATTCGAAATGACAGTATTAGAGAGAAACTATGAGTCATAACCATAGGAGAGAAATTACGTGAGGGATGCTTCAGATGGTTTGGACACGTAAAACGTAGACCGCTAGACGCTCCGATTAGAAAATTAAAGAGTATAAGGATGGAAGTGAAGAAACGAGGAAGATGTAGGCCTAGACTTACTTGGGAACGAGTCATTAGAAATGATTTGGATATGTTGCAAATATCAGAGAATATGACGCAAAACCGAAATGAATGGAAAAGAAGAATTCATGCAGCCGACCCCAAATAAACTTGGAATTAAGACGATGTTGTTGTTGTTGTTGTTGATGATGTTTACTAGCTAGGCATGATGGATTAACAAATCTGATTTTTCTTCAGGCGTCAAAACACCCTTTTGTCACCGGAGAACCTTTTACATGCCCGTACAAACCTCCACCAGAGACACCTCGTGTGGTGAGTCAGACGAATTTCCTTTCCAGATCTCAAACTTAGATGTGTGTTGTCTCATGGATTCTGTTCATTGCAGTGCATGTATTATCTTGGGTTCATGTTGTTTCATTCATGATGATAGTTTTCTTTCGTACATGTAAGTATGTATAATTGATAAAGTTGATCAAATAATCATGAGAAACCAATTGCAGATTCGTTTCCTTTCCTCTACTTTTTTTTTTGTTTCAATTTGTGCTGAATGCAAGCGTGTCAATGATCATCTCTAGTAGAGGGAGTAAGTGAAGGTTGGATATATTCCTTTGCTGTGAAGAGATTTGTGTGAAAACTGGACCAATTACCTCTATTACTGATTCACGTATTTTACTTTTCCCATTTGTTTTGTAGCATGTTGCTCAAAATATCAGAGTGGACCATCATCCAGGCGGGGGACACTGGTTTGCTGCTGGTCTCTCTCCTCATGTATGGTTCTACCCATTTTATAACTGTACAGAAATTCTTCTGTATCCTTTAGTTTGTTTTTTTAAAAGACAAATACTTCTAAACAGGTTTCAGGAATACCCAGAGTCTCCATGCATAATAGTCCGCATTTTCAGACAATGCCATATTCACAAGCCAATAGTTACGGCAGTATAGGAAACTACGGTAGCTATAATGATGGCACTAGACTTGGAGGTAGTTACGGGAGCTATGGAGAGAGTAGCAACATGTTTGCATATTATTCTCCTGTTAGTCATTCGGGCATGAACATTCATAACAGAGGTGGCATCTCAATGATTGGAAGTAGTCCTGATGCTCGGCGTAGGATTATGCAGTACCCGCATGGAACCGGCCTTGGGGTAAGTCCGTCTGCTGGAAATTTTGCACCACTTCCCCTTGGTACTAGTCCCTCGCAGTTCACTCCACCGAGTTCAACCAATCAGTTCTTAGCTGGTTCTCCTGGACATTATGGCCCAACATCCCCAGTAAGAGGCAGTTGCCATGGATCTCCTTTAGGGAAGATGCCTGCGTTTAGCCAATTTAACAGGAGAAAAAGTTTAGGACATTGTGGAAGTTCACAGTCACAGGATTCCTCATTATCACAACCACATGTACAAGGGATGAATAATTCTTTTCAGATTGAAGGAAATACTGTGACAGTCGGTTCACCTTCTCATCTACAATTGAATTCTGGTGCTAAAGACCGAACACATACACGAGGATGCGCTACATTAAGTGATGGATACTCCACTCAGAACACAGCCGGCTCTACACTTGGGGCCAATGTATATGTTTCGTCCAGCATTGGACCCTCTCATGAGAATCCAGATGGTGACCTGTCAGTACCTGATCCCAGAGATTGGGACCCTAATTACAGGCAAGTATGAGAAATTCCTTTAGTTTCCAGGTTAAAATACTAAAGTTTTGATCTTCAAGGACGTGTTTAAGGATGCAATAACAGGAGTGTGTAAAATATGGGTAATATCCGTGCTGCTCCCTATGGTTTTCTATTCTAACTTTACTACATTAACCTATATTGGCAGCTGTTCAAACCCTAGTTGTCATGCCTTACATATCATGGGATTTTAAACTATGCCAAGATTGATCTTCAAAGAGTTGTTAAATTTGTTCAAGGCAACACAAGAAGTGACTTCTACGATCATTTTTCATTACCTCATGTCATTCTTTTTATGGTTGAACTCCAGTAGAAGTGTCATTGACCTGATTCGTTTGGTGGATGATTGTTGCATAAAGATGCTTCTTTGTCCAAAAGCATATGTTCGAATATACGGGTTTCGCTCTGTCGTGAGTCCTTGAATTTAAAATTCTAAAGGCATACTTTGTGTTACCTTTTACAGTGATGAATTGCTACTCCAGGAGGATAGTATAGACGATAGTTCTATTGTTCAAGCTTTTGGCAGAGGTCTGCATATTGGTTCCTCTGGTGCCTCCACTTCTTCGGGAAGGTTCAACAATAATGCCTCTACCTCGTCCTCAAATTTGGCTACCCAGAGGTAACTTGAAGATATTTTCCGCCACTCTAGTGTGAACTCTCTTGTCCTTTTTTTTTTTGCATGCATTCGCCTATACCAAACTAGCAATATTCTTCTGTTAGCATATACGCTCTGAGACCTAATCAGCAATATACATCCACATATGCAAAGGTTTCACGTCATTTGTATCTCAAAGTTTAGCATGAAACTGGTATCTTTTTTGTTATTTAAAAAACAAATTGTGATATTTTTCTGTGGAATCTTCCATGCTAACCAATTTGGCATTGGGCTATGCATCTAGTTCATCTCGATAGTATTTCATTGTTACTTATAAGGTAGGCAATTTTTGTACTTTGTATACGTGCCCAAAAAATGGATAGGTAGTGTTTGTTCTGGGAGAGATATCCTGATGCAGTTGATGAATTTATTCTTGGCAAAAACTGGTTTTTTTCTGGACTATGTGCATCTGAAGCAACTAGGAAGTGTGAAAACCTATTACATACTATTTATACAGGGATGACCGGCTTCAGTAGAGGGGAACCATATTGTGATATTTCATGAATGTCATGTGATGTTTCCAAGGTTATTTATTCTACTTGAATCGACTTCTCTCGTTGTTAATCTAGGAAATAGTTCCACAATTTCCCGGTAACTCTGGATGAATATATTTAGCTTAAGGTTTGTTGCTTTAATATGCTTCAGGAGATATGCTCCCAATCAAGCGTTTTCACAAGCAGAGATTGGCAGCAACCCAACACATGATCCCCGTGCCAGGCTTGCCCCGTTTATACCGATGTCACATTATGGGTCTCATGTCCCCCAGAACTCTCCTAGCCGTTTAGGACAGCAAACTGCTCCACGGTTCAATCACGGGAGGCCAAATGGTGTAAGGGGCTCAGATTGGAATCACATGAAGGCACAGCTTCCTCCTTCCAGCTCTAGTTCTGGGGGTCCACGCTCTCCCAGAAGTAGCTCATTCACCAATGGCATCCCTTGGGGTATGGTCTCACTTTCTAGCTTTCCTCTGGATTTTCATTTTGTTAATGACGTCTAATTTGGCCCTGTAATTCGTATTATGTTCAAATCAAATCATGCTCATGAGGATCTTGGGAAGCAGTAGGTGATGTTAGATTGTTTCGTTGTGGTATCCTTTTTGTAGGGCGTAGGGCAAACCACCATGTCACGAATGTTCCTTCGACGTCCCATGGGAAAATGGACTATGGAAGTATTGCCTAACTCTGCAACCAACTTCATTTATTTTGTTCTTTCCTTATAGCATGCAACATGTGTGGTGGAAATGGAAACAGAGTTGTACTTGAGACAAAAAAAACTGTTTCACATGGCCTGTGGGCTCATGATTTTTTTTTAAAAAAGTGCTGATTCATTGTGCTTTGGCACCAAAAAAGGGAAAAAAAAATTGTCAGTGATAGTATTGTTTGTGTCTCTGATTAATGGTTTGCCTAACATTGCTTATAGTGGCTACAATGGTACCACATTTCATGTCAGAATTCTGTTTATACCGTTACCTCTGAGCATGTATCTTCTCAACCATCAGAGTGAAAGGTTTAGGGGGATCTGCGGTAGAAATCCACGAAGGTTCATCACGACGGGGGGGATGATATCGCCGTGAATCAGATGCCACTCTGGTAATATCATCATCCCTACTTTCTCGTCTCCGTTTGGTTTTGATTTTTTTTCCCTCTAGATTTAGTTCCGGCTTTTCAGTTTAATAGGCGCAGGTTTGCGTTGTTTACGAGGGATGAAACCAGCATATGAGATATGGAGGAAGAGGTAAGGAGTGTGTGTCTGATAATTCCTCCATGTTCTCCCCATGCTGTGAAAATTGTTAGGCTTTGTTCTCAGGGACTTACCCTCTCTCTGTTTTTTAAAACACTTGGTCTTGTTCCCATTTTAGTTGTTCAAGTCGCCATATGTTAACGCTCAATTGTGTGATGATCCTTACATAAATCCAAGAAGAGTGTGTTCAAGTCGCCTTGATGTCTTCTGTCCTTCCTCACCAACAGATCTTTCGGGAATTAGTGTTTTTTATGATCGAGTTTGATGGGCTTTCGGCTCAGTGGCCGATTATTTCGATTCTGAATTTTATCCCTTTATGGTTCTTTCTTGTTTTTTTTTTTCTGGAAAAAGAGTGGAAAGGTTTGATGTTCTTCATCCACTTGGATGAACTCCATTTCCGTTCTCGATTCAGTGTGTTTTCGAAACGTTTTATGGTCTTCATCTACTACCATGGCTCTATATTTCCATCTTTTCTGTCTCTTCAATTTTCTCCTCGTTCCCGTTTTGGGTCATGGGGTTTTCGATTTGAACAAGTTTGTGAAACCAAAACCTGTGTATCTTGCCTTTTAGAGCCCTAATTCTCCTTCTGTGGTTGATATCTTCAGCAATTATTCAAAATTTTCTTTCGGAATTCGAATAGATTCTGATGAAAACCATGTCTTAATGTCTTTTAGGTTGTGGAATTTGTATTGCAATTGGGTCATAGTCGACAGCCTCAAGTTGCTTCTTTCACTTAGAACAGTATTGTTTCTGTTGTGGTGAACTTCCGACTTGAATAGTTGTCATTTTTTATATGAATTCTGGTGTACAAAACTGCACTTTGTCATCGAAATGTAACTATTACACAGAGAGAACTAAATGCAAACAAAATGTGATTTTTTGACAAACCATAAGATAGTGTCAGATGGACCCACTCTGTCATTGCTTCTGGCAACATTAGAACCGACCTTTGGAGCCTAAGGAAGAACATGGAGAAGATTCAAAGATCACTTCTAACTTCTTCCACGTACGGAACTGTGATGCATCCTCAACAAATCTTCAAGAGTTACAATAAACCAGCCTTCAGCTTTTTGTGCAAACACCTTCTGCTTCACCGAATCTATGACGATACTAACGTTTCCAAACCCGTAGATCTGTAAACCGTTGTGCTTTCTGCCCGGTTTAGGTATAAAGGATAACTCGTTCTCCTGAGCAAATGATTCAATCACTTCTTTCAAACTCATCTCGCCAGTGCCATCCATCTGGGCTTGTGCTTGTGCCTGTGCACGAGCTGCAGCCCTTTGTTGAGCCTCGAACTGTCTTTGCTCCTGAGCCCTGAGGTAACTTATGTTCTCTCTTGCACCGGGTTGAGCCACTTCAACTCCTTCAACTGCCTGTGACATCATGCCTAGACCACGAGTGAATTGACTTCGGATGCTCTCATTTGATAGAAGCTCCTGAGGGAATGTTCCTTTCCAACCCAAATACCAATCGTTGATCTCCTCAAAATTCGGGTTTGAACACAACCAATGGTACAAGACCTGCAGCCACTTGGGAAAGAAGAATCTTTCCATCAAATCGACCATGAGATGCATCGGGATTGCTGAAGCCCACGATTTTACCCAGTTGAACTGATCCAGTTTCTGGCTAGCCGGGTTTATTTGGAACTCCTGCAATGCCAGCTGTAGTTTGGGAACTATGTACCGACACATAAGTTGCTCCCAGCTCACAGGATCGAAGACTGTTTTCCATGGCGAAAGAATGGTGTATGCTGATGCATCACTCGGATGCCAAGCATCGAGAACATTGCTCAACTTCATTTGAATTGTCTGATACTGACCCTCCATTTTCTGACCCAACATTGGCAGCCATGGATGTACCCAAACATGGATAGGAACAGTCTCTCTTCGTGGGTCCCAATAATCAACGGCAGTAGACAATTTCGGCATAACCACTGTGTCCAAGATTGTCTGGAGGATAGGCGATGGCAACAATTTTTCCCACAACTCTAGGAATGTGAGCATGGGTTCAGGGTCTCTCGGTTCCCAAGTATTGATTCCCGCTATTCGGACAGCGGGCAATACCACCTCAGAGACCAGTTGGCTATAAGGTGTTGAGGTAACCCAAATATTCTGATCTTCCTCGACTTCCAGCAGGCTTTTCCAAGAAGATATAGCCTCCATACCGTGCACGGGATCTCTTAGAGGATCCCAACCCTGAAACATCCTGATAAAGAGAGGCAAAGCCAATGAACAAGCGATGCATGATAAGTTGCATATCTTATAATCATCACGATAGCTCGTATGAAGGTTGCTAAAACGCTTGGCAAGTGCATCCAGAGACAAACTTCCTGATGTATTCTCGGCCTCAATTCGACTGATCTCGTCTGCAATATATTCCATGTTTTCTAACTGTTTCTTCTGTGTTTTCTCTTCCACTGCAAGCCTCTCCTTCTCTTTCTGCAAACTTAAAGCTGTTTCCTTTTCATTCCTCAAATCCCGATCAACCTTTTGAATTTCATGCTCAACTAAGTCAACAATTAAGCGTAGGTTATGTTGTAACTCGGGCATTGGAACATCTGCTTCTCTGGCTTTCTCCTCTGCATTCAAATTTTCCAAGTTAGTCACAACCCGAGCCTGAGGACCTCGCATATCAATAATTGTCTGCCCGCCGCCGAAGCCCTCTTCTTGCTTTTTCTCCAAAAACTCCTCGGCAGAAAGTATATGATCCTCCTTCCTCACCTTCTTTTTCTTCCACTGCTTTTTCCCTCTCTCACCACGAATCTGCTCTTTCTCACTGACACTAATTGTAACAGCCTTCCTGTCCTCCAATTGCTTTGTACCGGGCAATTTTGCACTAGATTCTTTGAAATCCTTGTATCCCATACCCATATTTTTCGGCCTCAACTGTGCTTCAACGGGAGCAACAATACCCTGTTCGTTCTTCCCGAGCCCACCTCCTTTGTATCCCATTTTCTCAAGCATTTTCATACCAAAACCTTTGGTGAACTTCTCAAACTGCCCAACCTCACCACTCGGACCATCCTTCTTCCCACCCCTCACACTTTCTCTATTTCTCTTCTCGGTCTTAGCCTTCTCCCTCAACTTTGCCCGCTCTATTATCTTCCTCCCTAATGAACTGCGCAAGGGATTCTCCTCATCCTCAACATCTCCATCATCGGCATCTTTAGCTAGCTTACTACCTTCCCTCTTCGCAGATGAATTTACACCAAACCCTAAACCTAAACCAGATCGGGAACTTCCACTACCCAAACCGCCCCTAAACTTATCATCTCCATTATCATCTGCATCTAGCATTTCGACATCATCATTCCTCCTTTCTTTTTCACCATCCGATTCTCTAGAATCCTTATCAATCTCCTGATTCGGCATTACCGTACCTGTAGACACAAAATTGACAGGCTTGGTCAAGTCTGCCGTCCTCCCTAAACCCCGGTCTTTCCGCTTCTTCCTCCGACTGCTACCGGAATCATCCGAGTCTGAATCATACTCAGCGAAGCAGCCATAGATAGCATCCTCTTTGGTCTGTCTCCGCTTCTCCTTGCGCCTTTCATAAATGTACTCGCCACCAACGAAACGACCACCCTCATAGTCATTATCCATGTCAAATCTCTCCATCTCCTGATCTTCATCCATGATGCAGAACAGATCCGAAACCCTAAAAAAATTCCACAGAAACGTGAGAAATGCGAAAAAAAAATCAGACAGATGAACCCGAAATCCAATCAAAGAGAGAAAAGAGAATAAAACCCAGTTTAAGCTATTCGAGGAGGTGCAATATGGACAAAAACAAAACACAACGGCTTCACGAAATTGTTTTCACGGTCCAACCACAGACATGAACCATGTTATCTCTCAAGTGAAATCTTCAGAAACAGAACTAAGAATGAAACGAAAGCGCAACACCACTGATATCTGGACTAACCTACTGATAAATAAGGTTCAATAGCACTGAAATGGGAGAGAAAAAAAAAATCCAGAATATGAACCCTAAGAAATTACCAAGTTCTTAATGCGAAAGTATCTGCCAAGATTAAGTTTTTGCATGACCCAAATCCAAAAACGATGAAATTAAAGCAGAATCATCAAAAGTGAAGCTACATCAACAAATACCCAGAACGAAAAGCTGTTTAAAAAAGCTCATATTTACCTGGACAAAGGAGGAAATCGTGATGTGAGAAGAAAAAGAGAAGCCAAGAAATGTATAGGTTTCTTCTTGCACTTCAAATTTCCGCCAAATAGCGTAGAATACGTCGGTCGCCGACGTTAATCGGCGTGTGGAGGACTAGGGCTCAGGTTGAAGAAGATGAAAGTGAATTAAAATTAAATTTTGTTTTCCATATTGGTTTTAAATCTTTTTTTTTTTTTGTTTAATACAGTAAATTAGGAATAAAAGAGGAGATTCTTTTTCTTTCTTCTTCTATGGATTTAACTAAATTTACGGCTCAGATTTGGCTGTATCTCTAACTCTTGCAAATTTGAACCGTTGATTTTGAAAGAGAATACAAACCGTTCGATCAAATTCTCTATTTATTTTGAGATTCAATTTTGATCGTTGGATTAGAATCAAATAAATATCAACGGTCCAGGTTAGACAAAAAAGCTAAATTTTAGCAAATTAAATAAAACAAAAAAAAAAGAGGGAAGAAAAAAGCTGAAGACGGTGACATTCGAGGCTATTCGACTAGCTGCTCCAAAATTTCGATCCCTCTCAACAAAGAAATATCTGCTTCCCTCGCACTCGGAGGCTTCAGGGGTTCTTGTTAACTTTTCGATGAGTAAAGTCGCCGGCGGCGACGGAGGAGGACGGCGGCGCGGGAACCCAATCTGGTGGGTGCTGGGATTGGGGTACTTCGTGCAAGGGTTTAGGGGTTTTCCATGGCTTGGAGCGAATTTCTTCCTCACCGGTGGTCTCAAGGTGAATCCTTCGGTGTTGCAGCTTCTCCAGAACTCGGCCAATCTTCCAATGGTGGCGAAACCTATCTACGGAGTTATCTCTGACGCTGTGTATATTTTTGGCCAGCATCGGATCCCTTACATCGCCATTGGAGGTACGGTATCCGATCACAATGTGAAGTTCCTCGATTGGGTATTCTGCATATTCTTGGCTCTGTAAATGTTAATATGGCTTGGATTGATAATGGTTTGGCAATATTAGCAACAGAGAAATGGATCGATTACATTCACCGTAGTGAAATTTTCAGAAGATATACCTCTGGAAGTTCTTCTTATGCCTAAGTCAAATCCTACTGGATAGTGGAGAAATGAGTCAAATTCAACTGGGTTACGTTGAATTCGGTGCATTTCTGATCAACAGCGGAGTAATGGAAGTGATGATGTTCATGGAGTTTATGAGTTTTCTTATGCTTTGTACATGAGACATGACGATATTCCTCGTAGACAAGGTGAATATTTCAGGATTTCAAAGACCTTTTTGTTGGGCTCATACTATCATTCCTTTTCGCTGATTCTCTTGAGTTACTTTCGAGGAAAGGCTTGTTCTGAATTCAGAGTTGATTGATTGGAATGATTAAAAACATCAAGCTTTTCTCGAAATGATTCGCTCGGTTACATTTTCTTTGCAGCTCTGCTGCAAGCAATATCATGGCTAGCTGTGGCTTCCCTGTCAAGATCCAAAGCTTCAATTCTACATTTATCACTCTATCTTCTCCTGAGTAATCTCGGTGCTTCGTTAGCTGAAGTAGCAAATGATGCTATTGTTGCTGAGACTGGGAAGCAAAAGACATCATCATCATCATCCAAAACCTCGCAACAATCTTCTTCGTCGGGCGAGCTTCAGTCATTTGTGTGGATGGCTTCTTCTCTAGGTGGAATCCTCGGGAACCTTCTTGGTGGTTTTGCCATTGAAAGATTTCCCCCACAATCGACTTTCCTATTATTTGGCATCCTTACTTTTCTTCAGTTTCTTGTGACCATAACCATCAGAGAAGGATCTCTTAAGCTTCCCAAAAGCCCATCACCTGCTGGTATTAGGAAGCAATTCTCCGATCTTTCACACGCATTGAGGAAGCCGGAGATTACTTATTCTATAGCTTGGGTCTCGTTATCAACAGCCGTAGTTCCTGTTCTGACGGGAACAATGTTTTTCTACCAAACAAAGTTTCTGAAAATCGATGCCTCGCTGCTAGGGATCTCCAAGGTGTTTGGCCAAATGGCAATGCTTTTATGGGGTGTTATAAACAATCGTTGGTTGAAATCCACCCCGCCCAGGAAACTAATAACTGCCATTCAGGGGACCACCGCCGTATTTGTGATATCCGATCTCTTGTTTGTGAAAGGAGTTTACAGGCAAATGGGCATTTCCGATTCATTCTACGTGCTCTTCTTCTCGGGTATTCTGGAAAATCTCTTCACCTTCAAGAACCTGCCTCTCAACGTCTTGATGGCTCGGCTTTGCCCTCCTGGATGTGAAGGTTCTCTCATGGCGTTTGTGATGTCGGCCATAGCACTTGCCTTTATAGTCAGCGGATATCTCGGGATCGTTCTTGCATCATTTGTCGGGGTAACGGGTGACGATTTTTCAGGGTTTCCTCGTGGACTCGTGATAGAGGCGATCTGTGTAGCTCTGCCATTGTTGTTGTCGTCGTGGATATATGATGATACAGAATCCAAACGGAGGAGCAATAAGCAAGAATGAGGAAGAACTCTGCAAATCACCAGTATAGTCCTGAGGTTAAAAAAGTTATAATGTGTTTATTCTTTGGGTCCTTTTTTTTTGGCATCTGGTGAATTGTAGATTTATAGTCACATACCTTTTAGAAGAAGATACATGTAGTTGAGAATTGAGATTGAAGTCCTTTTTTTTTAGTGTTTTTGTTTTTACTTTTTACTGTGATGCCTTCGTTTGATATAGAAAGGCTCGGCAGTAATTTTTTTTATGGTATGGGATTTTACTCGCATTATTCATTTATTTTGTTTGTTTTCGAAAGTCACTCTATAGTGATTACTATCCCTTTTTACTTCAAATTTTTTATAATGGTGTCAGGCACGTTTTTCAGATTTATTTTACATTTATAAATATTTAAGTTTCAAGAACCCAACAAAAATAATAATTTTCTAAAAAAACAAAAAAGTGAATGTTTAATATCATAATTGGTGGTTACAAGTAACTCTGTGAATCAAGTCGCGAATTAGATATTTTTCTACCTGGATACTAAAATAAATTCATGTCAGGGTTTCGAACGAAAATCATCCGTATTCGTGGAGGATTTTCGAACACGTATGTTAATTTTGGGATTCCAAAGGTGATTAATAAAGATTAAGAAAATTATTTTTTAAAAAATACGAAGCTCTAAATATTTTAAAAATAAAACCAAAAGAAACATCAACCTATCATATTCATTAGAAATCTAGAAGATGTTGGTCCACACTAAACCCTTAAGAACCAAAATGTAATAAAACAACCACAGAATCAAAGGAAGACACCATTTTTGAAAGAAAGAAAAAAATCTCTTCTTTTGAACTAATAAAATCAAATTCCAACCGATAAAAATCGCATATACATATACAATCCCTAATAAAATATTAAAAAAAAAGTGAACTAAATCAAATCCAAAAAAAAATACATCAGGTAAATATAATTATTTTTAATCATCAGATAATTAAATAAAAATACGGCAGTGAGCAGTACGGAATACGGATACCTGTGATCCCAACATCATAGAGTAGGTGGCCACGTGGGCTACAGTTTATTCAGTTATAGTTACAAATTTCCCTTGCTTTGACGTGAGGACCAAGCAATATTCCAAATAAAGAATATTCTCTCTTACGATAATTATTATCTCGTGATATTTCTTTTTAATTTCAAATGTCAAACGCATATCTATATATATATGTACATATATATGTTGTAATTTAACTACTTTTCTCCAATGGCGGCCACGGATTATCAAATCAGATTTGTATGCATTCACAGTACACCACGAATGGAATTAAATTTATAAATAAATATCGTTAACTACAATAATTATGTGCGTCTCTCTAATTAATATATATACACACACACATATATAACATTTTTTGCAGCTCATTCCCAAACTAAAGTGATACCAACTAAAAATAGTAAAACTTCATTGTCATATATATATATATATATATATATATATATATATATATGAGAATGATCAAATCAACCCGTCACCAGAAAAAGCAATTACAAAAACAGAGCACAAAGAGAAAAGAACAAAAAAAAACATGGAGATGTGGCTCTTCATCTTCGTCTCTTTCTCCATCTCTCTCCTCCTCCACGCCGCCTTCCGTCTCCGCCGCAGCTCCCGCCGCCTTCCGCCGGGCCCCGACAACGCCATCCCCTTCGTCGGGACCCTCCGGTGGCTCCGGGGAGGCCTCGGCGGTCTCCAGTCCCACGCGCGCCACCTCCACAGCCGTCTCGGCCCCATCGTCACCCTCCGCATCGCCACTCGTCCGGCGATCTTCGTCGCCGACCGCTCTCTCGCCCACCAAGCCCTCGTCCAAAATGGCGCCGTATTCGCTGACCGACCTCCGGCTCTTGCGACAAGCAAGGTCTTCTCCAGCAACCAACACAGCATCACCTCTGCTTCGTACGGACCCACGTGGCGGGTCCTCCGCCGCAATCTCACCTCCGAGATGTTCCACCCCTCGCGCGTGAGATCTTACTCCCACGCGCGTAAATGGGTCCTTCAGATTCTCGTGGATCGGTTCCGGACGAGTGGTGGGCAAGAGCCTGTCGTCGTCGTCGATCATCTCCACTACGCCATGTTTGCACTTCTCGTGCTGATGTGTTTCGGAGACAAACTCGACGAGAAACAGATCAAACAGGTCGAACTCGTCCAGCGAAGACCGCTTATGAGTTTCGGGAGATTCAATATCCTCAATGTTTGGCCCAAAATCACCAAATTTCTTCTCCGGAAGAGATGGGACGATTTTCTCCAGTTACGGCGAGACCAAGAAGCCGTGTTGCTTCCTCTGATTCGTGCTCGGAGGAAGATGGTCGACGAGAACGCGAAATCTGGGATTTCCGACAGTGACAACAAAGACTATGTCCTGTCGTATGTCGACACTCTCCTCGATCTCGAGCTCCCAGACGAGAAGAGGAAGCTCACCGAGGGCGAGATGGTGAGCCTGTGCTCGGAATTCCTCAGCGCCGGTACCGACACGACAGCGACGGCCCTTTCGCTGTTTCACAGAAGAACAATTTTTCCAGAAAACTTTACGGAGAGAGAGAACTTGAAGATAACTTTCAGTATATTCTCAATAATCTTTCTTACTTGTAAAGCGTTCTATACATTCTCTTATATACAACTTGCTCAAGAGGTAAAGTGTCTGTACACAATCGCCCCAATAATCAAGGGGTATATTCGATTGAAAAAGGAGGGCTCGGGCGACATTTAGTATGTGTTGGTGTTTCCGTTCAACAACGGAATTTTGCTGGGGGGTGTATGGACATGAAAAGAAATGAGTGATGCCCTTTTTGGAGAGAAGGGCTTTAAAAGAAAGCTCAGGGGCGTGGTCGGATCTTATTCCTTTCACTTTTGTATGAAACTGATTTTCAACATAAGCAAGAAAGTCTGGAAAAATGGATAGAACATCACTCTTCGAACGTAATAAGTAAAGCCATGTAAGCCGAGAGCAATCATCAACTATAGTCATAAAATATTTGTACCCATCGATCGTGGACACATGAAAAGGGCCCCAAGTATCAATGTGCAGTAAATCAAAAGGGTTTAAAGACAAATTGCCACCAAAAGGAAAAGACAGTCGTTTCTGCTTTGCTAAGGGACATATACTGCAATCAGAATGTGCAGATTTTGAAGGAAGAAAAGACAACTGATCAGAAGTACTAGAGTCTTGAACTTTAAAACACACAATAACCAGTAACGGATCGGCGTGTATCCGGACAGGAACCCCAATCGGCATCAGAATAGGCTTTAAGTGTCATGGAAGAAGAAGCAGAGTAAAAAAGTCCTTGGGAAGGGGAGGATTTAAGATATCGCAGAACTCGAAAAGCAGCATGGAGATGAGGAGTTCTGGGCTGAGACATGAACTGGCTCAGATTCTGCACAACAAAACAGATGTCAGGTCTAGTAACTGAGAGATAAATCAGCTTCCCCACCAATTGACGATAGTATGATGCATCAGCCAAGAGATTTCCTGAACTCTGAGACAGTTTCGCCTTTGTTTCCATTGGAGTAATAACAGGTTTTGACCCAAGCAGACCATAATCCTCAAGAAGCTCCAATGTATACTTTCTCTGGCATAAATGTATACCAGATGCAGAACGAGAAATTTCGATTCCCAAGAAGAAACGCGGAGGACCAAGATCCTTGAGCTGGAAGTGATCTCGTAACAGAGACTTTGTAGAATCGAGCATGACAGAATCATTCCCAGCAATTAGCAAATCATCCACATATATTAGAACAATTGTGATGCGTCGATCAACATATCGCACAAACACTGATGTATCTGCGGCAGATTGTTTGAAACCAGAATTCAAGAGAGTGGAAGATAGTTTAATATTCCACTGCCGAGAGGCCTGTTTCAAGCCATAGAGAGACTTGCGAAGTTTGCAGACATAATTATCAGGAACTATCTCCCCCGTAAGTGCAGTATATCCAGGTGGAATGGTCATGTATATTTCTTCGGAAAGGTCACCATTGAGAAATGCATTGGACACATCAAGCTGACAAAGCAACCAACTCTGTGACGCTGCCAAAGCCAGTACAATTCGGACGCTAGTGAGCTTCGCAACAGGACTGAAAGTGTCCAAGTAATCCAGACCCTCAACTTGTGTGTATCCCTTGGCTACCAATCGCGCTTTGTGGCGTTCAACAGAACCATCAGCATTAAACTTGGTTTTGTACACCCATTTACATCCAACTGGGTGTTTGGTAGCAGGCAAGGAACAGAGCTCCCAAGTGTTGGCACGAGACAATGCCTCAAGCTCAACTTTCATGGCATCACACCATGTTTCAGACTTGGATGCTTGGAGATAAGTTCTGGGTTCTTTAGTGGTGAGAATGGATAAGGCAAAGAATCTATAAGATGGTGTAAGTTTGGCATAAGATAAAACATCTGAAAGTGGATAAAAGGTAGTGCCTGTTTTTGGTGGAGGTTTGTTATGCTGAAAATAATAGCAGTGATAATCAGAGAGGTACCCTGGGAGTTTGGTTTCCCGCTGTGATCTACGACCGTTCCTAGCATATTCAACTACTTGTAAAGGAGGAGGAGAAAAGGGAGGTGAAAGCGAAGAGGAGGAATTAGAGGCTGAAGAAACAGGAACAGGGGTGGAAGAAACAGGTTCGGGCATATCAGTGGGATGTAAAACAGAATCAGTGAGTGGTGGCGAGGGAGTAGAAACAACAATGGATTGTTTAACAGAGGATGAAGAATCTGGAAAAACAGAGGTAGGAGCAGAACGACTATCATCATACAATAAAAAAGGGGATGGAGAAGAAGGAAAGAAATCAAGAGTGACAGAAGGAATTGTAGGAGTTTGAAATGGAAAGACATTTTCATGAAAAATGACGTTACGAGAAACAGTGATGGCATTTGTCTCAAGGTTGAGAACCTTGTACCCTTTGATCCCAGGAGGATACCCAAGAAATATAGATGGTGATGCTCTCGGAGAGAATTTATGGCGATCTTTAGAAAGGGTTGACACAAAACAAAGACAACCAAAGGTTCTCATATGGGCATATTTCGGTTTGGTCTTGGTTAAGACTTCAAAGGGTGTTTTTTTTTTTAAGAACAGATGATGGTAATCGGTTTATAATATAAATGGCTGTCTGTACACAATCGCCCCAATAATCAAGGGGTATATTCGATTGAAAAAGGAGGGCTCGGGCGACATTTAGTATGTGTTGGTGTTTCCGTTCAACAACGGAATTTTGCTGGGGGGTGTATGGACATGAAAAGAAATGAGTGATGCCCTTTTTGGAGAGAAGGGCTTTAAAAGAAAGCTCAGGGGCGTGGTCGGATCTTATTCCTTTCACTTTTGTATGAAACTGATTTTCAACATAAGCAAGAAAGTCTGGAAAAATGGATAGAACATCACTCTTCGAACGTAATAAGTAAAGCCATGTAAGCCGAGAGCAATCATCAACTATAGTCATAAAATATTTGTACCCATCGATCGTGGACACATGAAAAGGGCCCCAAGTATCAATGTGCAGTAAATCAAAAGGGTTTAAAGACAAATTGCCACCAAAAGGAAAAGACAGTCGTTTCTGCTTTGCTAAGGGACATATACTGCAATCAGAATGTGCAGATTTTGAAGGAAGAAAAGACAACTGATCAGAAGTACTAGAGTCTTGAACTTTAAAACTTGAAGGGTGCCCCAATCGCCGATGCCAAAGATCAACAGTGGGGTTTGAAAGAGCTGTACACAAAAGCTGGGAGATGGAGTGAAGATTTTGAGTGATGGATGTTGGCTGGTAGATGTAAAGATTGTGTATCAGCTCACCTCTCCCAATCATCAAGCCCTGCAAAGGGTCCTGAATGATGCAACCAGAATGAGAGAAAACAACTGAATAAGAGGTGTTACATGTCAAGGAACTAACACTTAAAAGGTTAAAACGAAAGGACGGAATGTATAAGACAGAACGTAAAATCAGCAAAGGAGAGAGTTTAACAGTTCCAGATTGAAAAACAGGGAGTAAGGTACCATTGGGGAGAGTAACAGAAATGGGAGAAATAGTTTGGATATGCAAGAACAGACCTAAATCACAGCAAACATGGGAACTGGCACCAGTGTCCAATATCCAAGGGGTATGAGGGTGAGATGAAATGGGTGTAGGTTGAATAACAGATAAAATATGGGTGGGGGGATAAGAAGAAGGATGTATACCTGGATTGGGTGCATAGGATGGTTCAGCAACCGAGTCCGAAACAGGAGGCGAGCTACCAATAAGTTTGAGTTGAGATTGAATAGTGTCAAACAGAGCCTGAACCTTAGCCATCGAGCTCTCAGAGATAACAGATGCCTCAGGTGTTGGCAAAATAGGACCTGTCTCAGAAGACAACATATTCAGTGGAGTTGATGTCTTAGGATCCATACCTGCCCGTGGTGTAGGCAGCAGAGGTGGTTTGTTGGAGCCGGAAGGGCGAGAAGAAGGTGGAAACCCATGCAACTTGTAGCAACGTTGAATGGTATGCCCTTGCATTCCACAGTGAGCACAGACAGGACGGTGCTTAGAAGCAGGGTTCATCGAAGATCTTCCCCGAGAAAACGGGGAGACAGAAGCTTGAAATACCACCGAATCAGAAGACGGTGGACGAGCTATGCGTTGGTGCTCCTCTTGGGAAATGAGGTTAAAAACCTTAGAAATGCTTGGCAGGGGCTCCAACATGAGGATTTGGCGACGGGCTGGATAGTACGACTCGTTCAGTTTCATCAGAAACTGAACAACCTTGCGTCGCTCGACTAGATCCATGAACTTGACATTAGCTTGGCAGGTACAGCCACCGCACGAACATACAGGGTACGGCTCGTAGTTCTTAAGTTCTTCCCATAATGTGTTCAGCTTGGTGAAGAAAGTGTTGAGATCTAACGCACCTTGTTGTAGACTTTCAATCTTTTGCTCAACATTGAAAATCTTTGAGACATTCTTCTGCTTGAACCGAGTCTCCAAAGTCTTCCAAATCACATCAGCTTCATCAAGGTAGAGGATCTGACTGGCTATTTCGGAAGAAACAGAATGAGAGAGCCAAGTGGAGACGAGCGCGTTGCAACGAGACCAAGCCCCAGAATCTGGGTGATCTTCTGAAGGCTTAGGAACAGTACCGAAGATGAAACCCACTTTGTTCTTTGTGATTAGAGCTTTGATAACAGAGCGGGACCAAAGGTTGTAGTTTGATTCGCCAAGGAGTTTTTCAGAAACAAGAGTAAAACTCGACGAATCTGCGGCATGAAGAAAGAGGGGGTTTGAATACGGGTCAGGGTTGAGAGGAGCAGAAGAATGGGTGACAGTGTTTGAAGAAGAATCTGGGGTTGAAAAAGGAGATTGATGAACAGGAGGTTGAGAGGGTGGGATTCCAGATGTAGCGGAAGTCGGGGAAGGAGAATTATCAGCCATGGTAGGTTACGAAAAAGGATAAAGAAGCTGAAGAACAGGTGAAAAAGGGGATGAACAATGGAAAAAAAATTATAGCTCTGATACCATTTCGCTGTTTCACAGAAGAACAATTTTTCCAGAAAACTTTACGGAGAGAGAGAACTTGAAGATAACTTTCAGTATATTCTCAATAATCTTTCTTACTTGTAAAGCGTTCTATACATTCTCTTTGATACCATTTCGCTGTTTCACAGAAGAACAATTTTTCCAGAAAACTTTACGGAGAGAGAGAACTTGAAGATAACTTTCAGTATATTCTCAATAATCTTTCTTACTTGTAAAGCGTTCTATACATTCTCTTATATACAACTTGCTCAAGAGGTAAAGTTGCCCTATACAGTGGTCCCAACATAAAGGCTAAAAAGTACATCCTAGTATAGATCAAAAACGCCCTTGCACTTGTACGTAGTATGAAGCAGAGATGTGTCGAGTAATATCCTGGCAACAAGTGCAGAGGTGGTTATATGGCAGATAAGAGGCCCTACACTGGATCATGGCGAATCTCGTGAAATACCCAGAAATCCAAAACCGATTGCACGAAGAAATCAAGAGCGTAACCGGCGGAACAGAGGGAGAAATCAAAGAAGAAGATCTACAGAAGATGCCATACCTGAAAGCTGTGGTCTTAGAGGGTCTCAGGAGACATCCGCCGGCACATCTCTTGCTTCCACACAGCGTGACAGACGACACCGATTTGGGCGGCTACTCGGTTCCGAAGAACGGTACGATCAATTTCATGGTTGCAGATATGGGCTGGGACCCGGAAGTTTGGGAGGATCCGATGGCGTTCAAGCCGGAGAGGTTCGTCAATGGCGAAGATTCCGTCGACATCACCGGAAGCCGAGGGATAAAGATGATGCCTTTCGGGGCGGGACGGCGGATCTGCCCAGGATTGAACCTGGCATTGCTCCATCTCGAGTATTTCGTGGCGAATCTCTTTGCGGAGTTCGAGTGGAAGGCGGCGGAAAATGATGATGTGGACTTGTCGGAGAGGCGGGAGTTCACGGTAGGGATGAAGAAGCCATTGAAGGCGCATGCTGTGCCAAGAAGGAGGTGAAGAAAGAGAGGTGATGGGTTTACTTTTAGTTCTTGCTTTGAGTGATGACGTGGACTTGTCGGAAAAGCGGGAGTTCACGGTAGTGTGGTTCATGTATGAATAAATGGCACTTATTTGATGTGATTGTATGTGTCATAAATTTGGTACAAGGTTTTCTAGAGCAACAAATAAATTTGAGAGAAAAATGAGATAAACCCCACCAATTTATTTAAACATATAAAATGAATATACAAATTTTTAATTTGACAAAAATGATCCAATTCACTATTTTGAGATTCAATCATGACCATTGGATTAGAACCAAATAAATATCAACGGTCCAGGTTAAAAAAAAGCTGAAGACGGAGACTTTCGAGACTATCCGACTAGCTGCTTCAAAAATTCGATCCCTCCCGAAAAAGACTCTCTCTCTACGTCTCCTGAGATCTTTGGCACTCGGAGGATTAACCGGTTCTTCTTAATTTTCCGATGAGTAAATTCGCCGGCGGCGACGGAGAAGGACGGCGGAGCGGGAACCCAATCCGGTGGGTGCTCGGATTCGGGTACTTCGTGCAAGGTTTTAGGGGTTTTCCATGGCTTGGATCGAATTTCTTCCTCACCGGCGGTCTCAAAGTGAATCCTTCGGTGTTGCAGGTTTTCCAGAACTCGGCCAATCTTCCAATGGTGGGGAAACCCATCTACGGAGTTATCTCTGACGCTGTGTATATTTTCGGCCAGCATCGGATCCCTTACATCGCCATTGGAGGTACGGTATCCGATCACAATGTGAAGTTTCTCAATTGGGTATTCTGCATATTCTTGGCTCTGTAAATGTTAATATGGTTTGGATTGACTATAGTTCGGCAGTATTAGAGACAGAGACATGGATCGATTACACTCACTGTAGTGAAATTTTCAGAAGATTACTCTGGAGGTTCTTCTTATGCCTAAGTCAAATCCTACTGGATAGTGAAGACATGAGTCAAATTCAACTGGGTATCGTTGAATTCGGTGCATTTCTGATTAACAGCGGAGAACAAAGACCAATTTGAGTAATGGAAGTGATGATGTTCATGGAGTTTATGAGTTTTCTTATGCTTTGTACGCGAGTCGTGACGATATTCCTCGTAGACAAGGTGAATATTTCAGGATTTCAAAGACCTTTTATTTGGGCTCATACTATCATTCCTTTTTCACTGATTCTCTCGAGTTACTTTCCGGGAAAGGCTTGTTCTGAATTCAGAGTTGATTGATTGGAATGATTAAAAACATCAAGCTTTTCTCGAAATGATTCGTTCCTTTACATTTTCTTTGCAGCTTTGCTACAAGCAATCTCATGGCTACCTGTGGCTTCCCTGTCAAGATCCAATGCTTCAATTATACATTTATCACTATATCTTCTCCTGAGTAATCTCGGTGCTTCGTTAGCTGAAGCAGCAAATGATGCTATTGTTGCTGAGACCGGGAAGCAAAAGACATCATCATCATCATCATCCAAAACCTCGCAACAATCTTCTTCGTCGGGCGAGCTTCAGTCATTTGTGTGGATGGCTTCTTCTCTAGGTGGAATCCTCGGGAACCTTCTTGGTGGTCTTGTCATTGAAAGGTTTTCCCCACAATCGACTTTCCTATTATTTGGCATCCTTACTTTTCTTCAGTTTCTTGTGACCATAAACATCAGAGAAGGATCTCTTAAACTTCCCAAAAGCCCATCACCTGCTGGTATTAGGAAGCAATTCTCCGATCTTTCGCATGCATTGAGGAAGCCAGAGATTTCTTATTCTATAGCTTGGGTCTTGTTATCAACCGCCGTAGTTCCTGTTCTGACGGGAACAATGTTCTTCTACCAAACAAAGTTTCTGAAAATCGATGCCTCGATGCTAGGGATCTCCAAGGTGTTTGGCCAAATGGCAATGTTTTTAAGGGGTGTTATACACAATCGTTGGTTGAAATCCACCCCTCCCAGGAAACTAATAACTGCCATTCAGGGGACCACCGCCGTATTTGTGATATCCGATCTCTTATTTGTGAAAGGAGTTTACAGGCAGATGGGCATTCCCGATTCATTCTACGTGCTCTTCTTCTCGGGTATTCTTGAAAATCTCTTCACCTTCAAGAACTTGCCTCTCAACGTCTTGATGGCTCGGCTTTGCCCTCCTGGATGTGAAGGTTCTCTCATGGCGTTTGTGATGTCGGCCATAGCACTTGCCTTTATAGTCAGTGGATATCTCGGGATCGTTCTTGCATCATTTGTCGGGGCAACGGGTGACGATTTTTCGGGGTTTTCTCGTGGACTCGTGATAGAGGCGATCTGTGTAGCTCTCCCGTTGTTGTTGTCTTCGTGGATATATGATGATACAGAAACCAAACGGAGGAGCAAAAGCAAGAATGAGGAAGAACGCTGCAAATCACCATTATAGTCTGAGGTTAAAAAAGTTTTTACTGTGATGCGTCCATTCGATATAGAAAGGCTCTGTACAGTGTGTTATATGCGTCTACGGTGGTGAAAACGTTTGCTATGGGCAGTAACTTTTTTTTTTTTAATGGAATTGGATAACTCGCATTATTTTTTATATGTTTGTTTTGGGAAGTTACCCATTTGTATGTGATTTGCCATAGTTGATTATTATCTCTTTTTATTTCAATTTTTCCTAATGGTGTCAGATGCGTTTTTCGGATTTATTTTACATTTATTAAAAAAAATTCTTTCAAAAACCCAACAAAAGTAATATTTTTCTAAAAACCCTAAATGTGAATGTTTAATATCATAACTGGTGGTTACAAAATAACTCTACGAATCAATTGGCGAATTAGATATCCAAAAATTAGATATTCATGTTAGGGTTTCTAACGAAAATTATCCGTAATTGTGGAGGATAGGACTCCAAAGGTGATTAATAAAGATTAAGAAAATTAATTTTTTAATAAAAAACTCTAAATATTTTTTTAAAAATAAAACCAAAAGAAACATCAACCTATCATATCAATCAAACAGGTAGAAATCTAGAAGATGTTGGTCCATACATAGTAAACCCTTAAGAACCAAAATGCAATAAAACAAACACACAATCAAAGGAAGACACCGATTTTTTAATAAAAAAAAAAATTATTCTTTTGAACTAAAATCAAATTCCAACCGATAAAAATCGCACATACATATACAATCCCAAATAAAAAAAAAAAAGTGAACTAAATAAAATCCCACAAAAAAAATACTATCAGGTAAATATAATTATTTTCGATCATTGGAGAATTAAATAAAAATAGGGCAGTGAGCAGTACGGAACGGAATACGGATAACATGTGATCCCATAATAATAGAGCAAGGCATGTGGGGTATAAGATTATTCAGTTATGGTTACAACTTTCCAGAACTTGGACGTGAGGACCAAGCAATATTCCAAATATAGATTAATCTCTCTCTTACGATAATTATCTCGTGAAATTTATATATATATATATATATATATAGTAAATTATCTACTTTTCTCCCACGGCGACCACAAATTATCAAATCTGATTTGTATGCATTCTCATTTCACACCAAGAATGGAATTAAACTTATAATAAATACCATTATCTACAACACCTTCCTTTTATTAAAATTATTTTTGCACATACTTTTTTTTAGATATGACCGAAATAACGATGTAGTGACATAATGGTCACATTAGTCATAACGTTAAATTTATACTAATCACCCAAATCACTATAGTCACATTTTACATATCATACTAATCCTTTGGCGAAATCAATCTACGATATGTAATAGTGAAAAAATGATCAAATACAAATTAAATCCAACACCGAAAGTACTAGACTTAAACAAAAAATAAATAAATTAATATATACATACATATATACACACACAGTGGATTAAAATTGTCATCGTATCAAAATCCGAAAAAAAAATTCATTTTCAAATAAATTAATCAATGCTTGGGTGACACGGCCAAAGAGGAAAAATATCAAATCCAAAGCCGTGGAATATGTAACTTCCACATGTACACATACGCATACACACACATATGTGTGTATATATATGAGAATGATCAAAGCAACCCATCACCAGAAAAAAAAAAAGCACAAAGAGAAAACAAAAAAAAAATGGAGATGTGGTTCTTCATCCTCGCCTCTTTCTCCATCTCTCTCCTCCTCCACGCCGCCTTCCGTCTCCGCCGCAGCTCCCGTCGCCTCCCGCCGGGCCCCGACAATGCCATCCCCTTTGTCGGGACCCTCCGGTGGCTCCGCCAAGGCCTCGGCGGTCTCGAGTCCCACCTACGTAACCTCCACCGCCGTCTCGGCCCCATCGTCACCATCCGCATCACTAGTCGTCCGGCGATCTTCGTCGCCGACCGCTCTCTCGCCCACCAAGCCCTCATCCAAAACGGCGCCGTATTCGCCGACCGACCTCCGGCTCCCCCGACAAGCAAGGTCGTTACCAGCAACCAACACAACATCAGCTCTGCTTCGTACGGACCCACGTGGCGGCTCCTCCGCCGCAATCTCACCTCCGAGATCCTCCACCCCTCGCGCGTGAGATCTTACTCCTACGCGCGTAAATGGGTCTTTCAGATTCTCGTGGATCGGTTCCGCACGAGTGGTGGGCAAGAGGCTGTCGTCGTCGTCGATCATATCCACTACGCCATGTTCGCTCTTCTCGTGCTGATGTGTTTCGGAGACAAACTCGACGAGAAACAGATCAAACAGGTCGAATTCGTTCAGCGAAGACTGCTTCTGAGTTTCGGCAGATTCAATATCCTAAATGTTTGGCCCAAGATCACCAAATTTCTTCTCCGGAAGAGATGGGAGGATTTTCTCCAGTTACGGCGAGACCAAGAAGCCGTGTTACTTCCTCTGATTCGTGCCCGGAGGAAGATAGTCGACGAGAACGCGAAATCTGGGATTTCCGACAGCGACAACAAAGACTATGTCCTGTCGTATGTCGACACTCTCCTCGATCTCGAGCTCCCAGACGAGAAGAGGAAGCTGGACGAGGGCGAGATGGTGAGCCTGTGCTCGGAGTTCCTCAACGCCGGTACCGACACGACGGCGACGGCCTTACAGTGGATCATGGCGAATCTCGTGAAATACCCAGAAATCCAAAACCGATTGCACGAAGAGATCAAGGGCGTAACCGGCGGAACAGAGGGAGAAATCAAAGAAGAAGATCTGCAGAAGATGCCATACCTGAAAGCTGTGGTCTTAGAAGGGCTCAGGAGACATCCGCCGGGACATCTCGTGCTTCCACACAGTGTAACAGACGACACCGATTTGGGCGGCTACTCGGTTCCGAAGAACGGTACGATCAATTTCATGGTTGCAGATATGGGTTGGGACCCGGAGGTTTGGGAGGATCCGATGGCGTTCAAGCCGGAGAGGTTTGTCAATGGCGAAGATTCCGTCGACATCACCGGAAGCCGAGGGATAAAGATGATGCCTTTCGGGGTGGGACGGCGGATTTGCCCAGGATTGAACCTGGCACTGCTCCACCTCGAGTATTTCGTGGCGAATCTCGTGGCGGAGTTCGAGTGGAAAGCGGCGGCAAATGATGACGTGGACTTGTCGGAGAAGCTGGAGTTCACGGTAGTGATGAAGAAGCCATTGAAGGCACATGCTGTGCCAAGAATGAGATGAAGAACGAGAGGTGGCGGGTTTAATTTAGTAGTGTCGTTCATGTTTGATATTTTGCTTTCTTGTGGGTTTTGGTGAGATGAATAAATGGCACTTATTTGATGTTATTGCATGTGTAATAAATTTGGTACGAGGTTTTTCAAGAGCAATAAATTAAACTAAAAAGTATGGATTTCGTTATAGTTTCATGTAGATTTTATTATAGCATAATGATTCTTGGGTTTAAAATGTTTTTTTTATCAACTTACAAGTTGTTTTATTAAAAAAGCAAAGTTAAAATTGGAACACATTCAAGAGGGTGGAAGAGTTTCGTGACTTCAAATTTCTAATCTGAAACGGCATCTTTTGGAGGAAACTTCGTATGGACGGACAGCAATGTTTCTCATAAAACAGACAAAAGTTTCACATTCAAAGCACAAATAAACGTCACCATTATTTATTTCTTTAGCCAATGAGTAAAAAATCCAAATCGATTACGGAACTCACTATCTGTTGCATCTCATAAAATTAGAAGAGGGTCTAAAATTTGGACATTGAAGAAGCCGTTCAAGGGTCATGCTGATAAAGACGATGCTATTATACATATACATATACATATATATATATATATATATATATATATATATGTTATCTTATAGTACTCATCACTTTCAAATGTGGTTGATAGTATTTTGTGGAGACTAAAACAGTGGGACCCATTGAAGATTGATAACGAGGGATCCACCACTTGTCTTGCCCAAATATTTTTTTGTCATACTTGGGGGTAATGTAAAATACTAAAATGTGGGATTCCAAGGTTTACATTTTTGGTATCAATAATTAGCTTAAAGAAAAAAATAAAAGACCACCATCGCCTATTTCCTTTACACCAGCATCAAGAGACGGAAGACATAAAAACAGCAACCAAACATTCCAAACACACACAAAAAAAAAAAAAAAAAACAGAAACTGATATGGCTAAAAGACAGGGAAGTGGCTTGAAAGAAGCTTTGCCCAGAAACCAGAATCCATGATTTTCTGGACATTAGTTTCATTCTCTCCAAAAACAATAAAAAACCCTGAAAAAAAAGAAGAAAAAAAGACAAGGGAGCATGAGAATCAAAGAATGAACAATGCCTAGCTCTCTTACCTACAAGATGTTTGGAAGCTGAGAGTCCAATCTCTGCTGCAAGTCTTTGATCTTCAAGGAAAGCTCCTCCTTCTGCTCCTTATAGTTGCGGAGTAACTA